AACAAGCCAATGGATCAATTTATTGTGGTGATGTGTTTTTATCCAATATATAATGCTGCCTTATTAGTCATTGGTAGAGACCCCTTTTTATCGTATTATTAATATCCGCCTGAAACTTCATAAATAGTTTCATCTCATCGTAACCTTCAACTATTTCATTTACCAAAACTCTTGGAATTGGGGCATTTTCAATCTGGAGGGGGGCAAACTTTGTCTATTTAATAAAGTACTAACAACTCGTAAATACCAATTTGCTTTCTACTTCGATCGTTAGATAATTTGATCACAAAATCGAGAAAAAAGGAGGCTTTAAAAAATATTGAACCGTTTATACTATATAACCTCGTTATTTTGAAAGTTTAGGGATGTAGGTCACGCCAAACGGCTCAATATTTTTGAAGGCCACCTCTTTTTCTCAATTTTGTGATCAAATTATCTTACGATCGTAGTAGAAAGCAAATGGGTATTTACGAGTTTTTAGTACTTAATTAAAAAGACAAAGTTTCCCCCCTCCAGATTGAAAACTCCCCAATTCCAAGAGTTTTCGTAAATACAGTAGTTGTAGGTTAAGATGAGATGAAACTATATACGAAGTTTCAGGCGGATGTTAATGATTCGATAAAAATGAGTCTGTAGCACGGACTATATTGTTTAAATTTCAAAACTGTTTAAATTTCACTTATCCACTTCAGTCTTTACTGTTTACTGTTAACAAGACCTGTTGTATAAATAAACTCTAGAAAGCTGAGTGTGTTTGTGAAAATTGTTTGTTTTTATTGAAATTCTTCGTTTTTTTTTTTTCGGTAATTTCATTTAACATTTCATATTTTATAATTGCTTTTTGTTTTCTATTTAATGTTACTTTTATTTCAGAAAATACTTTACTTACATACTTTTCACCAACCTAAAATTATAATTTTACATCAACGAGTACTCACAATCAGAGACATTCAAAAATACGTTGAAGTTTAGCCTATATAACCTCGTAATTTAGACATGTTGGGAGAGGAGGTAAAAATAAACGGTCCAATATTTTTGTAGGCCACCCTTTTCCTCGATTTTGTGATCAAATTATCTTACGATTAAATTGGAAAGGGAATAAGTGTTCATGAGTTTTTAGTACCTCATTAAATAGACAAAGTTTACTAATCTTCAGAATGAAAACACCACATTCTCAGAAATAAAAAAGTTCTAGATTTCAAAAAAAGTTTTAAAAAACTTTTAAAAGTCGATGAAGCCATTCACGATGTATTGGAAAGATGTTAATAGTTTGACAAAAAGGTGTCTATACCGCACAGCATTAGACTATAACTACAAAATTAATTCAACTAAATCTAGAAAAAAAAGTAAAATATTTGTAGATTATCGTCCAAATAATTCGTTTTTTTTTTGTTTTTTCGCAATATTAGCTAGAGAAACTTCCTTCAAAATGGGTCGGTCAGTGAATCCTAACGGGCGAGTTCAACTGATCAGGAAACAAATCCTCATTTACATACTAATCGATAAACTTTTATCATTTTTTTTTCCAAACCAGTTTTTTTACACTATTCGAATAGCGTTCCTATTTTAAATAATGTTTTTTTTACCTTGTAATGTTAAAAATTTATGTCGTTTAGGATTTCGTTATAAGGCTTGGCGAATTAGAGAAATACCAATGTCGATAACATAAATAATAATTGCTTGTATACTTCGGCGTCCCTGGGCTAGGCTATGACGTCATCTTCCTCTTAAAAAATAATAAATTTATTTCTTCAGCTGTTTTATGCATTATATATATATATATATTATATGCTAAGTGGGGAGTGGGGTTGCTCAGTGGTAGGGCACTGAGCTTCCAATGCAAAGGTCTCAGGTTCGAACCCCCCGGCTCATAGCAGAAAATTTAATTATCTGTTTCATAGGCCATGGGGCGACCCTGGGTTGATAGTCCCTCCTGGGGCACACCCAGCCTCTATAAAGTGGGTACCCTTAATTAAATAATTAATTAAGGGGGAAAACCTGGCGGTTGAGCGTGATCTCGGTCAAATCACCTCCTTGCACAACCGTTGACCTAGAAACAGTACTTTCCCTAAATAGTACTGAACCCCAGACCCTTCATGGGTTGTAGTGGTACAGTTTTTTTTTTTTTTATATGCTAAGTATGCATTACTTAAATTTTATTTCATTCAATATTTCTCTTATACAGTTGCTTTTTAATTAGGCAAAAATTAATTATTTCAATACATTTTGTATTTTTTCTAATTTCTAACAAGCGCCGAGCTCATAGTTGGCGCCCTCGACGGACGTCCATTATCTCCAATCCCGGTTGCCCCATCTTAAGGCACTGGTCCAAATATCATAAGAAACAAATTTTCAAATTTAAATCTAACATAAGTGAGGTGTGGTTTGTCAAATCGAAACAAATGCCCCAAATTTCTAAGTACAGCTGTCCTTGGATGCAGTTTGATTGACTTTTATTGCTTCGTTACTATGGTGATGTTACAAAACCTAATCCTTTCCTCAATAAACGGTCTACCTAACAGTAAAATAATATTTCTAATTGGAACGATAGCTTTTAAAATAAGCACGTTCTAACTTTCATGCTTTAGTGTGTATATATATATATTTAGTGTGTTGTAAACCATTTAATAAACGTTGTGAGTACTTTAGTTACCATTTTTGAACTTAAGTTTCCAGTAAAATCTTCACTGATCGTTCTACGCTACAGGTAAGGAAAAGAGTTTAAAAAAATCCTTCAATTATGATCAGTTTCACTAGCGGATCTAGAATTTAATTTGGGAGGGTGTCTTCAGCCCCTTACAAATTAAATTTTTTTTTTCACATATATAACGATAATTACTTTTGGAAAAAAAAGAAAATATAAAATAGATATAAAATGGTGTTTGAGTGATTCTTGAAGTCCTATTAAATGTAATTATACGAACTATAATACTTTTTTAATATTTTTTTTTTGAAAGAGATAATTTTTTAAATATTTTTTTCATAAAACATGGTGACATTTTACTATTTGGGGAGGGGGGGAGACCAAATTCCATTTCCCGTATATCAGCCTGTGATCGGTTTAGTTATAGCGTTCATCAAGTGAAACTTGTGCTATTTCGGTCTTCAGGAATTCTGGTTAACACTAGAGAATTCCTAGCCCTAATTATCTTACCTACTAAATATATCTTCGTAGTCTTTCTCTGAACAGCAGTACTGTTCTTTGTATGATAAATTAAATATCTAGATTATTATAAATGCAACTCTTTACTAACCTACTGAAAAAAATATAGTGGAAAGAAGCTACTAACTCTGAGCCTAAGTAAAATAAACCTTGTCTGCCATTCTAGAGCCGTAGCATTCGAAAATAGCCGCTGATTTAAAGGATATTTGCCAGCAACTTGAGTTCGAAACGAGAGAAAATTTGCGAAAAATGTGGTAGAAGTTTTTATTTTTTATGCTTTTGTATGTTAGTGCAAACATGTAAAAGACGAACTCAGGAAGCCTTTTTGTAGCAAAAAAAAAAGAAAAAATGGATTTCTTAGAACTTTCTTTGGTTTTTTTTATCTATTAACTCCTGAACGTTGCACCAAAACGAAAAACTCGTCAAAAAATTAAAGAAAGTTAAATTGTGCGTCGAATGAGTAAACTTTATAATTTGGTTAACAGATATAATCGAAAACCAAGATCAGCAAACGATATTTTTTACTATAAATGATTCTGGGTTTGGAAATCAGTTCTCTAAATGAAAAAGTTGTAGAGCTTAATGTGGTATTTCTTGAAATTAGGAAACTCCCGATGGCACAATTAGTTGATATTTAATAAGGCTGTGTTTAATTCTTCACCATATTTATTTTAATTTATATAGGTACGTTTCGGCCTGTAAGCCATTTTATCCGACCATGCTTTTTGCATATAGTCCAAAGTCTGATTGGACTCTGATTCAATTAGACTTTGGACAACATGCAAAAAGCATGGTTGGATAAAATGGCTTGAAGATGCCTTACCGGCCGAAAAGTAGCTATGTAAATTAAAATAAATATGGTGAAGAATTAAACACAGCCTTATTTTTTATATTTCGACAGTATGGGTCTTTATTCTACTGAGTTATTCTTATTTAGAATGTTCTATATGCAGTATAGATCTTTTTTCTATCCCTCACCAGTAATGAATTTTGTTCACGAGATGTCAAAAGAATAATCAAATAATTTCATGAAGAAGTGACGAATCCCAATTCGAGATATTTTGGCCAATTAGGTTATCTGAGCATACAATTAATTATTTAAGTAGAGTGGTAAGTGAAAGTTGTGTGATGCATCGCTCCAGATTTTTACTTTTATTTTAACTTTATTTTATTATTTATTTTTCTTTGTCATAATGCTTATTTATCTTTTTTGATCAGTATGAAATCGATTTAATAATTTTATAACTTCGTCTTTGGTTTGTTTTATAATTTTCGAGTTTTATTTTCGTCGTTTTAATTATCAAACCGTTCCAACTAATTGACATAATTATTTATTATAGTATTTCAACTTTAAAAATCGAACCTGCATACTTTAGCGAGGGAATTAGGTACAGCATTTCATCCTTTCTGTAATGGGCTGTTATTCAAAATCGTATCTGAATGCGACGCCGTGGCATAGAGAGGCGAAAAGAAAAAAATAGTGTCGAAAACCAAATGATAACGAGCTTTATAGAAGATATGTATTAAAATATCTCAGAAACTAAAAATTGGATCTGCATACTGTAAGCGAGGAAAATATTCAACATTTCGTCCTCTTTATGAAATGAGCTATTATTTATAATCTATATTTCATATTATTTATCTCGCCTCGTTGATGTTTTCACTTTTATCGTGTGGTATAAAGTACACACCTTATTATTTTTTTCGTCATTTCATTTAGGGTTTATTGACACAGTGCTATTTAAACAGTTAATGCATTGATGACACTCTTGCACTGTCAAATATTTGTATCATACTAAACAACATAAATTACTGAAATGCAGAAGTGGGGATAAAAAGGAGTAAGAAGGAAACAGGTGGTGGGAGAAGGAATCCAACCAGCTTGAGGTCAAGACATAAATGTTGGAGCAGTTCTTGTTCTCATGAGGAACGGCAATGGGACTTAGTATTCGGTTTGGCTTCGGCCAGCTTATTTTATTAGTGTTCCTATCAGGTAAAGATTTTATATTATTATTTAATTTGTCAGCACGTATAAGTTCCAAAAACATATTTTTTTTTAAATCGGAATAATGAAATTGTAACATTTACCGAAAATTCGAAACATTAATCCCGCCAAAGAACCATAACGAAAATCGATTCTTTGAAATCCATATATACTCATTAGTCTTTATTGAATATATCATGATGGCAATGGCTTTTTAAAATATGATTGCTAAAAGACTGATGATTTGTTATCAGTGACTGAAGAATTTATTTATATAATGTTTATCAGCCATTTAAGTTTTTCAGTCATTATTTCTTGTTTATATTTTAAAGACATTGAAAAAAACAAAATCAAGGTCAGCTGGTTTCCTGAGGTTTAACTATAATTGATATATCTAACTTAAAACTCAGGTGCACATCATTACAATATATTCCATAAAAAAAATGTATATATTGATTTTATTGTATATGTATTAAATATCACAATTTAGGATTTTTTATTGTGTAAATGTAGTTGACTCAACAATATTAGTTTTAAAGTGCTGCTTGATGAATTATCAATCTTTCAAAATGTTTTTATTAATAACATTATTAATATTAAAAACAGAATTATTTTTGACAAACTTGTTTATCTTAAAAATTACCAAAAATATTGTAATTCATCTCCAAGAATAAACAATTTTTATGAACTATGATAAAGAATCAAACATATTAAAACATTGAAATTGACTGCAGTATATAATATTTGGATAGATATTTTGGCTTAACAGTCATATTAACAAGTAAATATATATAACTGAGAGAAATAAATAAAAAAAATAAATTATTTTATTATATATTTAAGCTCACCATACCAGTTATAATAACAAGTATACTTATTATGTATACAGAACATTAAAGCCAAACCAGAAGTCTGATAAACAATCATAGTTTAGAAATATTCATTTTTCCACAATCAAATATCTTAATTTTCAAGCTATCAAGTAGTTCGAAACATTGACAATACCATATTGTGTTTATATTTAATTAATAATTATTTCAAACATATTTCTGAAATTAAAACAAACAAAGCCATTAAAATTTATGTGATTTTTGGTACAGAATGAAATTTTCCATAGTGGTTGAAATGTATTAATTAATTGAATAAACATATGAAGTTGACTATTTTTACTATAGTGAAAATTTGGAGGAATTGTACAAATGAAATTAAGCAAAAATTCTTCTCTGATTTTTTTTACACTAGTTTGTTTGATTTTTATTTAGAAATAACTTAAATTTTATGCTTATACACATTGATTTCTTGTTGTAGAAATCAGTATTAACATAACTCCGACATTTTGTTTGTTTATTGGGTTTCAGTTAACAAGAAAAACGTGTAACTTTTCATGGAGTGGGCTAAGATCATCAACATTGTGAGGGTTAAGTTTTTATAATTTCTTGTTGGGCCGATAATCATTTTTTCCCTCTCAGATCTTGATCAACTTTTCAGTATGATTTTGTAAGCATGAAAATATTTGCTTTGCTATTTTAATAAGATCATTTTTTTTCCCTATCAGTTCTCACTCATCAAAATTAAGTTTAAGAAAATATGTAATAATAGTTTGACGATTGTCATATAAAAACTTTTTTGTTTTAATTATGTCAGGAGTATCAAACCTACTTTAATTAAAATATTCGAGATTAGTCAGGTTATTTCTTCTTCTTGTTGTTCTCCCTTTTACTGCAGCTAAGTCCGTAGAGCTTGAACTTTAAGTCGCGGTCTTGTACCATCTCTTTGCTCTTTTTCCATTACAGACATCATCTGTCGAAGGCCACTTTCAATCCTTCATTCAAAGTCTTCCTGGGTCTTCCTTGGGATCTTTTTTCTTCTCTTTTTAAAATAAAACAATTTTCAGACATTTGAGACACATGTCCAAACCACCTCAAGTGATTTTCTTCTGTTTCCTCTATTGGCGGTTAGTCATATTATTTAAAAAAGATAAATATTGTTTGAGATAAATATCTTATGTATGAGTTACAGTAATATATATTTACAATTTGGTTACATTTTAATAAAAAATAAACAAAGAAACATTTCCTCATTGTTATATTTATACTAATTGATAACAATTTTTAAATTTCAGTAGTTAAAAACCTTTTTTATTTTACTTAATTTACTTGGCTATCGTTATTTATTTGTAAATTTCCAAATCCAAGAACTCTATTCAACCATATTATGGTTTAAATCTGACATTGTTACCTCAGTTGAACTTGTGCGGTTCTGAATTCACTTGAAATTTATCTTATTATTATAATTTTGTAATGATTAAAAATTAACAGTGTTGATGTGTAAAAAAAAATATATTTATATATCAGGTTAGATACAAGAGCATTGAATAACAATTGTATTATCATTTGTAGCTTCTGAATCTGCTAGATTAATTGGCTGCTACAAGGAGATCTCAAATGAGGCCCGCCTGTTAAGCGGTGCTCAACAGAACTTTAAGAATACTCTTACACCTGAAAAATGTATTTCATTCTGCAAGGGTAAAGGTTTTCTCTACGCAGGATTACAGTACAGGTAAGATTCTTTTGTTAATTAATTTAATAATAAAATAAATTATCCATTTAGTCCGAAATATACCCTTTTAGAATAACAATTATGGCAATAATTGATCGGCTTTAGGGTTAATAAAATTTTACCTGTATTTATGTAAGATTATACTAACCTTTCACTCACCAACTGTCCTCTAGAAAGATGATTTACAATTAAACTCTTATTATAACTTCAAATAAATATATAATGGCATTTATGTTTTATTTTTATTTTTATTTCAGCTATGAGTGTTTTTGTGCCAAAGATAGACCTTCATTTATTCACTCAGCTGATAGTTCTGACTGTAATTCAAAATGTGATGGTGACAAAACAAAGATTTGCGGAGGTGGTTTGAGATTAAGCGTTTATGATTTAGTCGATAAACCAGTTAACTATGTGCAACCTAACTACGTCGGTTGCTACGCCGATGAAGGAGGCCGAAGAGCTCTCACAGGGAAAGTTGCTCCTGAGTCCCAAGAAATGACTCCAGAATTATGTGTCGGTTTCTGCTTTAGAAATGGATATCGCTATGCAGGACTTCAGTACAGGTTAAATTACTACTTAATTATCTACTTTAAATTTGATGAACAATTTTAATGGCAAAGCCACCGGGCCAAGACCTAGATAGGATTGTATTGCCATTGGAAAAAAAAAAATTTAATAGAAAACATTTAATCATTTAAGTCTAGAGTTCAAATACGTTTAGAATATAGTTAATATGGTTATCGTTGATAAATAATATGTTAGAGATGAGTATATAGTTGACTGTTGAAATTATAAGAATGAAAAATGATCAGGATGTGCAGTCAAATATTTCGTTATTGAGTTTGCCGACATTTTAACCCAAACATGTTGGTCGAAATATCAGCAAACTCAATAAAGAAATTTTTGATGTTACGACCATTTTTTCATCCTCATAATTAATATACTGATACATTCACTTTTGGTACATAAATTACCTGAATTCTATACAAATATGTTATCTTATTAATGTATTTTTAGGAATCAGTGTTATTGTGGAGAAGAACCTCTCGGTCCTAGAAGTAGTGAAGGAGACTGTGATATGGAATGTGCTGGTGACTCGAGATTTCTCTGTGGAGGTGGTTGGCGTAACAGTGTCTACCAAACATCGATTCCAAGTTAGATTTTGTTTAATTTTTTTTTTTATGTTTCTGGACCATCCTATACTATGAGTAATATTTTATTATACTAAAAAAATTGTTTACTTTGTAAACAAGTGTGTTTTGTTGTTTTATTTATATGAAAATGAAATGAAATTAAATGAAAATATTTTTTTATTATCCTGGGACTGTTGTCCCTTTAGGACAAATTACAGATACAGAAAAATGCCTGTGTGGCCATACATAAAATTAATTATTTACATTTATTATTAAGATTAAGATTTTGAAAAAAGAATAATACGAAAATAGAACTATTACACTAAAAACATTCTGATATGTATAATACAAACGTGGGAAAATGAAATAGCATAAGTAAAGAAAATCATTTCTGGGGGAACTTTAAAAGTTCTCTTATCTACATTTCATTATCAATCGGGTTGGGAAAGGAGTAAGTGGTTAAAAAAGAGAGATTTAAATGAGGAAACTGATTGTACATGTCGGATATCGTCTCTGCTATCTCCTTCCATATAAATCCCATCAACTCCTGGTTTCCTCCCTTGTGTTCCCCCACTTCGACTATGGCTGTCTGGTGTACGGCGGATACTCGGGAGAATTTGAGGCCAAACTTAAACGCCTAATGAACTGCGCAATACGTTTTCGTTTTCAATATGCTGCAATAAATTTATTTTATACACTTTAAAGTAATGGTCGCCCCTCCAAGTTTCTTATCCTGTCCCTAAGTCGGGCACTGCCGTTCTCCAATATGATTAAAATACTGGAAATGCGCTTTAATGACTGTAAACAATAGAATAGAATAGAAAATTAAACTTTATTCTGGGACTAAGTCCCTTTAGAATAACAATGATGAGTTAATACAAAGCAAAGTACAAATCTGCCCAAAAACTAACTTCTAAAAATTTTAATATTATATACATTATTTAAAAAGTATGTAACCAGTAAAAAATAAAAAATATATACAAATGAACATAAAATCTTCTCAAAATTACTTAATTGTGATGAAAAAAAAAAAAAAAAAAAAGAAGAGAAATTACATATTTATATATACATAACTATACAATTTATAAACAATAGGCTATCTAATAGAAAACTAACTTAATACAAAATGAAATAATATCTACAGTGGTTTATATAATAATATGCAGACACTAAGATAAAATAAAGTCTTACGATACTTGTGGTGTAATGGGAAAAAAAAAAAATAACTAAAAGGAACTATTTATATGTACATTCTCATATTGGCACACCCAAAGACAAAGATATAAAATATGAACATATATACCCGGAAAAAAAAAAAAAGCACAACCTGAGGAGAAGAGAAAAATAAATAAATAGTAAAAATAATAGTCAAACTAGGTGACAAAGATCATTGCTGTTTTATGTTAAAACTTAAACAGTAGGCACCATTATTTACTTCACACAAATTCAGTTCATAAAATGAAATTTATGGTGGTAAATCTTCTGTTTGGGATGTAAGGTGATATTGGAAAAGGTGGTATTTGAAAGTTGACAGGGAAGAGGCATGACGGATGTTATGTGGCAAAGAATTCCAATAGGAGACGGAACGGGCTAAGAAGGAACGTTCATAGGTTTTTGTCCTGTGGAATGGAATGTAGAGGTCAGAAACACGGGATCTCGTTTTTATTGAGTGGACTAAGGGTTTAGGCTGGAGGAGACAACAGATATAGGAAGGGTGCTGGGAGTTGATCGTTTGGTATAAGAAATTTCCAAGGAAGTATAGGCGGCAGGAAGAGGGGAAGAGCCACTTTGACTCGGCATATAGGTGGGACACATGAGACCATCTCGAAGTGCCGAAGACGAATCTTAAAAAACAGTTCATGATTCTCTTCAGTCTGTCCTCAAGCTCCAACGAGAGGCCACCGTATACCACACAGCCATAGTCAAAGTAGGGGAAAATCAATGAGGAAACGAGGAACCTGCGGATAGGTTGTGGGAGATGCTGACGAGAACGATGAAATAATTTAAGAGTACCAATAGACCTTCTGGAGATTTGAGCAATATGGGGTTTCCATGATAGGTTTTGATCAATAGTAATTCCTAAGTTTTTTACAGAGGAGGTGAAGGAGATTGGTTGGTCATTAATAATCAAGGAAGGATGGGTGGAAATAGATCTAAGGAGGGAGTTGGATCCTATAAGAATGGCCTGAGTTTTCGTTGCATTCAACTTTAATTTATTCAAGCTTGCCCAGGCACTTATCCTATCTAGGTCTCTCTGAATATTCGTAAACGCTTCTAATAACTCAGTGGGCGGAAAGGAAAAATAAATTTGGGAGTCATCAGCATATAGATGGTATGAACAATGGTGGATTGAACTAGGAAGGTCATTGATGTTAGAATTAAAAAGGATAGGAGAAATGCTTGAACCCTGGGCTACTCCATGAGACAAAGTGAGGAAAGAAGATAAGGGTTGATTCGGAATACTAACGCCTTGAGTCCTGTGAGAAAGAAAGGATTGGAACCATTGGATAGAACTATTGGATAGAGATTTTAATTTATATTTAATTATAATATACAATACTTATGATAGCTGTGATATTATAATACACTGCAGATTTCCAGATTGATTACAAATGAAGAAAGGTCTGTGCTTACATATTTAGCTGTATGAATACCTACTATAAGGTTTTAACTTTGGCATTGAATATATAGTTACGTTATTTCTGACTGATATCTGATTCATCTCCATCTTATTTTATTTTATTTCTTATCCATCTTATTTTTATTCCAGCAATTTTTTTTTTCACTTTTTAAAAAATCCTATAACTATAATATAAAAATTATTAACTGATTTTTGAAATTTGATTTTTAGATGAAAGCGAACAAGGAAAGCTTATAGGCTGCTTCATTGATAGTCAAGATTTAAGACTTCTCTCTGGATTTCACCTTGATTTACCTGAAACTAACAGCCCGAGGAAATGCTTGAATATATGTAAACAGCTTGGTTATAGTTATGCTGGAGTACAATACGGGTAAGGTTTTATTTATTTTTTAATTTTTAAAAATTTTTAATTTGTCAGATGTTCTGCTTTCTTTTGTTAAATTCTTCGTACTTTATCACAAACTGAAAGCAATTTATCCTAAATTTTACAATAACTCAGAAGTCTTGAGTAGAGTACTTGAAGGGTTACCTGATTTTGGAATGAAAGGTATTCTAAGAAGTTTAATCATCACATCCAGCGATTCGAGTTTTACTGCAAAAACCATAAAAGGGTTAGGGTGGAAAATAATTATGATATGCTGCCAATAATCATGTTTATTAATTTTGCCGACATTTTGACTGAAGTATGTGTGAACCCATTTCTTTTATAGCCTGCAAAACATTGTCCTGATGATGACGCACTTGTTTGGATTGAAACGTCAGCAAACTTAATAAACACAATTATTTACTGCATATCCTGTCTAATTTTCATCCTTACAGTTTTAATAGTCAACTATACACCCATCCATAAAATGGTTAAATTCACACCATAAAGATGTTGAATGTGCTTGGCTGAAATTAAAAAAATTAACCTGTCATTAGACACCAATAAACGTGATAATCTTTGAGATCCTTGCATATTTTAAAACATCCTTCATAATTAAGGGGTTTATCTTCTGGTATACAATACCGAAAAATTCCATTATCAAAATTATTTATAATGTCCATAGTTATTATTCATAATATAAAGCATATAATGTAGTAGAATCCTGTTCATTAAAAATAGATTGAAAACTAACCCCATCTGGAGAGAACGGGACGGCCGAGCAAGTTGAGGCGTGGGTCCCAGAGTGCTAGGTTCTGAACTTTTGGGTTCGATTCCCACCTGTGTTGGTTACTTTTCATTTCTCGGCAGCCCTCAGAGCAAAAAGGACCATGATAGGCTAGTCGGACTAGTTATCTCCTCCCTCCCTCTACCCTCCCCCCACCAGTAGCGGCTCCAATAACAGTAACCCCATCTGGACTACTAAAACTGAACAATTAAATGGAATTTGGTATAAAATGAACAGGAAGGTAAATTTTTGGTGTAGTGTAATCTATTAATGTTAAAAAAGTTGTTTTATAATTTTATTTTTTCAAATATTTAAAATTTGAATGATATATCAATTATACTTTTTTTTTTCAAGCTCTTAATTTTTTTTTTAAGAAAGTTTGAAATTTATATGTTTGTTTTCTTTTGAAATAGTATTGAATGTCACTGTGGTAACCGGAAACCTGAATCAGAAAAGGAGACAAATGAAAATCAGTGCCTTTCTTCCTGTCCAGATGGCACCCGAAGATGTGGTGGAAACTGGCGGCTTCTTATCTATTCTACTGCTTCAGTCCCGCAGCCAGTCATTAGTGGTATTATTCCTATTCGTGACTCAATTAACTCAACTGTTATTTTAATTGTTAATCAATAAGTACATTATGTTAAGGATGTAGACTTACGGCATGTTAATATTAATTCTGAAAAATAAAATGGAACCCTTCAGAATAGGAAGAAGTTGAGGTTTATTTAGTATTATCGAGACTATTACAATAAAAAAACTAGGTCTAAATAATTATAATATATTTAACAATAACTTTTTGAAAATCATTTTATATAGAGGAGTTATCATACCTGTGTGAATCCTTAATTCTCTGTATCTCGAATAAAAGTATTATTTCAGTCGAGACACATAGAACCTAACTTCTATTGTCCATGCTTTAGTCTAATATAATAGGTTGCTATAATTTTTATTGATAAAGTTCATCAAGAAGGTAAAAACTGCTACCACCAATATATACCACCAAATAAGTTCCTTCTTGGTCAGATTCATTTCATGGTTCGACTCGAAAATACAGATTTATTGTCATAACAGCTCGGCAAACACAGTAACAATTTTAATTTGTTACATAAATATTTTCTAATTGAAAATTCTTGCTTCCTTTTTTTTTTTAAACAATAAATGAAGGTTAATATTTGATTTATATAAATTAGACTATTCATTGATCTATGCTCTTGTATATTCTCTTAAATTTAGTTTATTTAGAGTTGTTTTTTTATTTAAATATATACATTTTAGTAATTATTTAGTAATTATATAATTACAGAAGTAGATACACATGCATATATAATTATTAAAATAACAAAGATATATAAATAATGTAATATAAATATAACAAAGTGTTATAAAGATTATTTCACAATTTTGGTACTGGATAATAATAAAAGGGTTCTGCATGAAAATTCAGAATATTAATAATAATAATACTTTATTTTTGATATATTAATAAGTTGAATAAAAAAAATCTTAGTTTCTTTATTTTTTAAGTTGTAAATTTATCTCTTTACTAATAACTTGATTAAATTGATCTTTCTTTACTAATAATAGCAATTTAGAAATCGGTTAAAACCCTCTATACAAATTGAATGTTTTGTGAATAAAATTTTCTATTTCGCTGTCTTGTTTCATTTTGTTTTTTAAAATCTCTTGAAAAAAATGAAATATACAAGCATTTTATGGGAATCATATTATTACCTAATCATATTAATAGATTTGATCTTTCAGTTAATATAAATTACAGCTAGTGTTCAAGAAATCTTTATCTTAATAAATTATTGTTAAAATTCATTCCAAAATTATTTTGTAATAGTTCTCATAAATTTGAATAACAATTTTTTTTTTTCATTTATTAGATTACCTGATCTTGTGATCATGTTAGCAGTTATGTGTTGGCTACATGATGTATTATGTTTTAAAAATTAGGGACATTATTTTTGTTTGAAGTTGAAACTGACATTTTGTTTATAATGTGCATGAATTTCCAGTAAAACATTTCTTGAATTACTTTGTGGAATAGCTTCAATCATTCATATTTTCTTCTTTCTTGAATAGGTACATTATTTTTCTTCTTTTCTTTTTATAATTTTTTGTGGATTTATTTTATTAATTGATGAAATCATCATATCTAAGATTTAGTGTAAAAATATTATTATTTTTAGTATTAAGTTTTTCTTGATTATTATTTTTTTTTTTTTTTAATTTATCCTTTCTGTATTCTTTTATTAGATAAATCAATATGCTGTCAGTTAGCAACTCAACAAAGTTGAGCTGCTTTATAATTTTATTGTACTTCTCCCTTTTATTTAGTAAAGAATCTAATTTAACTCTGTTTGAGAATAAAGATATTTTTCACCATCTTTTATGAGAGATTTAATAATTGAATTGCTACCTTTCAGTCACCTGCTTATCATTTCTTTAACACCATTTTTCATATTTATTTTTTAACACTATGCTGTCAGCGTTTACTATATTAATATATATCTTGAAAATTTCTTCTTTTTGCACACACTTTTTACATATCATTCTATCTTGAATTTTAGCACACTTATTCTTATTCCTTCCTTAAGAAATGCTAAAAAAAAGATTAGTTTCAATTGAAAAAAAATCACTTACTTGTTCCTCAACATCTCTCTAGACTATACCCATGATGAAGGCCTGCAACTTAGGCCAAAACTTTAGGACACGTAAAAAAACTAAATTCTTACATCAATTAAATCTACAAAAATAAAACAAATCATTATAACTATTTACTGAACCATTTTTGAAGGGACTTCAGTGACTTATTTCTAAGTGGTGAACAACATGAACTGTTTGAGATGAAGTCTTCGAGGAAATGGAAATCGGAAGTTACAGGAATAAATTTAAAATGATTTTAAGCAAATAATTTGAAGTTGGTTCCTTGTCAGGATATTTTTTTAAAAGATCATTCCCAAATCCCTCTTTTTTTCCACTTTGTCTTGTCGAAACTACTTTCTGTTTCTATACAGAAATCATGATGGTCAAGCATAAACTAGTATATATGCGCTAGTATATGCATACGTAATACATCCATATATATAAAAATATATTCACGTTAAAATACTTTTTTATCTAAACCTCTATACTCGATTGTATACATACACGCTAATATTCACACTTTTAAATAAATATATACATCATCATTTTTACACTCATTTACTCAAAAATAGATTCGATAGATATTATTAATAAGTACTTCGGTCCATTGATAATTTATTGTTTTCATTCATGTTTTGCTTTAATTCTTACATTTTATGGTATAGTTGTATTTCTCCTGAGTCTTTTAGTGCTATTTCTCTACAAAGGGATATTTTGTTTTTTATAAAGGCTTGATGCAGTAATGTACAATCTTCTATTATATGACGTTGATTAGCGGGGCTAGTAACAGTAGACATCTATCCAAGTGTAGTGGAAGGAATTGTATGTTATGAACTATTTCATGTCATTCTCACCTACAAAATGCTATGAGCTGAAAGTAACATATCTAGGACAAACATTGGTTAAGAAGATGTTGATTCATCGACTTTATAGCCTACTTGGTGGATATGTGGTCAGCAGTGCCTGATTTTTATTTTAACTGATTTCTGAATTTTTTTTTTATATTTGAACCCCAAAAAATTTTTCAAGCCACTTTTCACTCTGAAAATTGTAAAATTTATTACAACTTGCCAGAATTTCGACCTATTGCAGTGAAGAAAAATGATAACAAAAAAAAAGTACAATGTGTGCTTAAGGCCACATTATAGAAGTGAAAACATCGATGGGGCAGGATTCATAATGTTAAATATAAATTTTGCTTTTTGTTCTAAGTTCATAAAGTAACATTTGCAATAAATAAAATTATAATTGTATACAAACTTTTTTTTTTTACGATTTTAATGATGATTGTTGTAGCACTATCAAGTGCAACAGAAAATTGAATACAAAGACTTAATTACTTATTTTAATGGTTAATTTAAAAAAATATCTATATTTACTTCTGAAAATTGGCTTCTGAATTCTCTATGGTATTCAAATTTTGTCCAAAAATTCAAAACAGTCATTACTTGTTTTGTTTTTTTGGCACTATCTTTTTCTCTTTCTTACTCTCTAAGTTGGCTTTACTCCAAAATACAACCTTAAATAATAGCTCATTACAAAGAGGATGTGAAATGCTGAATATTTTCCTTACTTACAGTATGCAGTTCCGATTTTTAGTTTCTGAGATATTTTAATCCCAATCCAAAAACACTTCAATTAGTCTACTGCAGCTGAATTCACCCGAATGAGCGTTACTCATCTGAACGTGATTGGTTCATCTCATTTACTAAACATCTCTAAATCTTATCAGTTTATGAACCGCTAATCAATAATAAACAGTGACGCGGCTGAGAGAGAAGCACTGGGATCTCCTGGAGTCCTGCATTAGCTTCCACGTCGGGGAATAAGGCAGGACTCAGAGTCCCCTGGGTGAATGTAAACTATTTTAATTTATAAGCCAGGCTTATTTTTGTGTATCCAGTTGTAATAAAAAAAATTGAATTTATCTATAAATATGACACAAATGCTATCACTATAAAATAAAATTATAGCATATAATACCTATGATAGCAATGAATGGTAGCTTGTAAATACAATGATGATTACATGAAAAGTAATTTTAAAATGGCTGTTTTAATGATATAAGTACCAAACTTTAAAATTATTTATTATTAAACATTAAAGGAATTTTTCTATATCTTTTTCTTTTTTCAAGGTGTTGTACAAACTCCAAACATTGTAGTTGCAAGACCTGAACCTGGAGTTGATGGAACCAAGCAACCTACAGCTGTCGTTTTGGCAGCCGGATCACCTCAAGCAATTCCAGTTCTGACTCTAAATAACCCCAAATCTACCGTCCATACGACGACAAGACGCCCGACAGTGACACCAACTACACGAACGACGACTCCGAGATATCCAAATACCACTCCAACGAAATCTTGCATCAGATCCCATACCCTGGTTCAAGGAAGGACAGTTTGCCAAGGTGAAAGACTATTTCATGATTCATTTCTTGGCAATGGTCTTAATGGCAATGTATGGACACATGAAGTCTTCATGCCTTCTGAACCAGTAGGTTTATCTTATCAAAATAAATGCAAAGTGAATCCAATTGATTATTTTAAACATAACTTATTCATCTTCAGGTCAATATTTTATAATCTTTGAACATTATTAAATTATTATTACTGATTGAAGGTAGGTAATCATTAATTTTGTAGTGTTCTATCAAGAACAATTAAGGATATTCAAACAAGGATATGTATCTTTAAAATGTTAAATCCGATCATGTGCGAAATCTCTGAGCAACGGGGACAAACTTGTCCTGGCTCTGATGGGTTTTTCTGTTACTTAGGAGTCTCCACTAAGAGAGGTGTATCATAAAAAATTTATTGATCTGAATAAATGAAGTTTATTAATACAATTTTTTTTGGCTAATTTATGCTCAGAAAATTTAATATTTTTAATTAAAATTTATTATCTTCACTTTTTCTTTTATTTAAAAAAATTTATGGTAGGTCATTCTTAACATTCTAAATCAAAAAATCTGGTGTGGTACACGCATCACACAACTTTCACTTACCATCCTCTTCTTAGCAGAAATAAGTATTTTCAGACAAAGCAGAAGTGAAAGTAAAAATTATAGACGCTATATTTATTTATAGTTCATTGTGGGTATTTTTATTTGTATAAGTATCCTTATTCTTGCAGCACTTGTATTCCTTTAGTTCCTCAATTACAACGATTCTCTGTTGCGATCTCTTATTTCTCCTTTAGTTAATTTTAAAATTCTTTCATATTTTATATTTAACTATCTTTTATATTAAAAATTAATATGAAATGGTCAATTTTTTCAAATAAAAAATATTAAAGGTACTTTAGAGGAAGCTAATGAAAATTAGCCATTTAAGCCCTGTTAGAGAACATCAATCAGAATAAAAACTACATTTTATTTAAAACTGCTTAATTTTACACTGATATGATGAATTTAATCAAAATCGTTAGAGCCATTTTTGAGAAAATCGTAAAAATGTGTTTAATCTATTATATAAAGTGCCACTTCCGTTAGCCGATTTTGACAAAAAAGTTACTGTAACAACCCTAGCATATAAAAAACCTAAATATGCAGTTTCACTTTCGTACGACTTTTCGTTTTTGGGCTAGACTGTTATCACACACACATATAAAGGATTGGATAAAATCAATTAAACATGTTCAATCTAAAATGTATTTGCCATCTTGTTCTCTAACAGTTTGCCATCTTGAAACCAAATTTTGTACACCTTTTGAACCTATGGTTTTGAATTAAAGAAAGCCAACTCCTCATTTTTAACTTCATCGACTGAACTTGTGTTCCTGCCGTTTAATGAGTTTTGGAGACTGCGAAAAAATGTGATAATCTAAAGTTGCTAAGTCAGTATTCCTTAAATTTTTGCAATGTTTGTTTTGCAACATGGGGCCTCCCATTGTCATTGTGGAATAAAATGCCTTGTCTATTGACAAGTGAGAGATGTTTTTCCTCAATTTCTTGATTCAGCAGTCGGAAAAAAAAATCAAGTTAGACTTTACTAAAATGAGAATCACCCATACATATCACATATTTTTCTTTTATTATATTAATTTTAATTATTCATTTCTTATGTATATTTGTCAATATTTTCATATTTTATCACTCTGTTCATTATCAAAAATAATCCATTTTATATTAAGTATATTATTTTCTTTTTAATATGTTTTCTTTCTCTTTCTTATTGGTTGTTATCTTATCTTAGCTTAGCACTGATGAAGGCCTGAAACTTCAGCAAATAATGTTTTTTGTGTATTGACTGCATCTCCAACTAACTCCTACCAGATAAATGTTTGTTAGTTTTAATTCCAGTGAATGTTTCAGGATTATGAGTTTGTCGTTTTCGATAATAACCCTCAGTCGACCTATACATCAGATGGTCGTCTTCACATAAAACTCATTCCTTTTGAAGATACTTTTGTCAGGAGTGGCAAACTTGAACTTAATAGGTACTTAACCTCTAAAATGGCTATATATTCATAATTTGCTATATAGCATGTAAGAAGTACATAAATAATTTAATTGAGTCTTAATTTCTTTATATTTATTTTTGAGTAGTTCCCTCTGTATGCTAAATCAATAACAAGATGGTTCGAGAATCAGTTAGTTGATACCTACTTGTCTTTATGTTCCTGCCATAATAAAGACCTATAATTTGGGTCGAAAAATTGGCAAGTTTATAAAATATCATATATCTACCAGATTATATCATATTTTAAATAGTTAGCAATTATCGCTGTGACTGACTCCTGGACCATCCTTTATATTAAAAATAATTAGGTATAAGTTTCACTATTTTTAAATAAACTAAAACCGGTAAATTTAATATAGTATATAATTTTATATAATTATTTTAACTTTAATTAATGCAGATGTACAGGACGTCTTCACACCGAAGAATGTATAAGAGAAGCCAAAGCATTTTCTATTCTTCCTCCGATACAGTCTTCCAGAATCACTACTAAAAATTTTTTCTCCTTCAAGTATGGAAAGGTAATTATTTATTTATCTTTTGAACAGATTTTTTGGCCATCTTTAAAAGTTTATCAGAAAAGACTAAAATGGTCTTCAAAGTTATTCATTGCTATTTTATTCAAGCTTAATTTTTTATTAACTTATCTGACATGAATTATGTTGGTACTTTTGACTCAGCTGGTTGCCAATGTTTATAACCTCAACACTGTTAATTCTGATCCTGATAATGCCTATCTTTATATTCATATTTATGGAAATTGAAATAGACAAAAAGAAATCCATTTGTTTTTATATTTTAGATGAAATTATATTTTACTGTATGAATAAAGGCTGTATTTTTCACCACATTTATTTTCATTTCTCCTCCACAGTGGGTAATGGTGCCATTTCTAAGCCATTTAGTTTATACTGCTCATTATGGAATGAATAGATTGATCAGTATTAACTAAATGGCTTGAAAATGGCACCATAGTCGAAACGTAGCCACTGTAAAGGAGAAATGAAAATAAATGTAGTGAAAAATACAGCCTTTATTTATATAATATGATAAAATGATATATATATATATATGTGTGTATGTTTTTTTTTATTTTGGGAGACAAAATAGCTTAATGGTATTTGAAATAGCGAGAGCAGTTCCTCTTCTCTGTGGACCCGCCACCACAAAAATTCACATAAATAGGTATCCAGGTGCTGCTTCGTAGTTACATGATGTTTTATATTTCTCGAATTACCTGAGTCCCATAATTGTTCTATATGTTGAGTATGGACTCCACTTGAAGGATCAACAAAGTTATACCGGTGATTCACCTGGAAATGGTTGTAGTTGTTGGGTGTTGTATTCTTTCCAACAGTCAGAATATATAGTGGTTCTCTTTTCTATATTATTTTTAATACATTTTAATAGAGTTGTTGCTTTTCTTTCTTTTATTTTTTACCATGAAACAATCTTCTTTTTTCCCATTTCATGACCTTCTTCATACAATTTCACCTTTGGATTTATCCTGAATTTCTTAAAGTATTTGACAGATTCTTCTTCTGAAGACAGCAATTCCCAAAGTATTATTATTATATCCATTTCAAACAAAAAATAACAAAATAAAAAATTGAATAACGCACAAGTAACGGAAAGATAACAAGAGGTTACACGAGATAAGAAGGGAGATTCTGTAGCGACTGGCTAATTCACAGGTACCATTATGTTTTACTGGGACATTATTTGTCAAGTTTGACCATTCCCTATCCTAAATTTATCTTAAAAGTATATTTGACCTACATAAAATATCAGCAGTGAAAAAACAAAAATCTGACCTTTTTGAAAAATTCAATATAGCAAGTCTATTATTTTATTTTCTCAATTTTGAAAGGTGGGCCAAGATCGCATGATCACACTATCAGTGGAATCCCGAGAATGGTATTTATAACATGTTCGAAGTATAACCTCCCTTTATTTAGAATCCAGCTTCCATCTAATTCTTTTTATTAAAAATTAGGCCTTAATTTGCTTCAATTACATTACTTTTTTCTATATTTGCTCTCTCCACCAGGATAAACAAACCACCAAGAGGTCATTTTCAGTTTAGTTGTGCCCTTTCCAAAGACAGTTATTATTTATTTATTTATTTCCACACTCCCATTCTACTATGGCAATACAAGTGCAGTAGTATGAAGTTAAGTACTAATACATAGTAACAGACTACTGAAGTTATTACAGTATACGTATTCACAGATTTTCATACAGCTAGCTCTTTTTACCTTTCAATTCTTCTATAAATTAAGACAGGCTTCCAGAATCTATTGGTCTTCCCCTCCTGCAAGCACCTATATTGCAGTGGACTGGACTCACCACTGTCTTCCAGCCATTTATTAATTCTTTGAAGTTTTCTCTACTCATCAACCGAGAAAACTCCTCGGTGAGGATTCAAACTCCCGTGGTCCTCATCAATGTGACTCTAAATCTGTCGAAAGCAGGCAGTGGCCTTGACCACATGCTCAACAGTTCCCAAAACTCCACACCCGTTCAGCCATCTCCTCTATTTTCAGTTATACTCAATCATTCTCGGAATTCCATTTATGGTGTGATCATGTGATCTTGTACTCCCTTCCTACCAACACCCATCGAAGTGATGTAACAATTGTAAAGTGGTACCTTATTCTTTTATTTATTATTATTATTTTTAATAACTTTATGACTTCAGGTTTTAGTGAGAGCGAAATTACCATTGGGAGATTGGATCGTACCAGGTATTATATTAAAACATTTTTATAAAATTATCTTTAAAAAATCACTAATAATATAAAATTAGTGATTTGTAAAATAGAGATCAAATAATATTATTAGGACATGTTTAGAAATGTTTTTAATTATTAGCCTTAACTTTTTCAAAAAACTATTAAAACTTGCTACGATCAAAATTTACTGTTAGTGCATATTAGACGAAGCAAATAATATCAATTATTGCAATTTTTGTTTAATCCAAACGAAAAACCTTAGAAATCTTACTTTATTTGATGTCACTACTTTAACCAAAGACTATTTCTTGAAATCATATTCTTTTATTACTTTTTATTCATGTTTATGTTCATTTATCCACTTTTTATTTAACAAGGAAGAACATTATAATAGATTTATGTGTATTTAATGAAGGCACCTCTTCCACTTATTATGTTATTTTTTGTTTATTATATTTTATTATTTTAATTTATATGTTGAAATAATTGCTGTTATGCTAATTTTATTGTTCCCAAAACAGAAAAATTGTCCATGAAAATGGGCTAAGTGTCTGGAACATCGACAATGGAATATAAAAAAATATATGTAATAAATGGAAGAGGTTCTTTCATTAAAATAAAAATCCACAAATATTCTAATTATTTTGTAAATTACCTTCTTTTTTTTCTGATGTTTAATTATAATTTATATTGTTAGAAATCTGGTTGGAGCCAAAGAGAAAGATATATGGACCTACTTATTCATCTGGTAAGATTCGTATCGCAGTGGCCCGAGGTAACAGAGATCTTATCAGCCATAATAGGGAAAGAATCGGTAACAATATGTTGGAGTCAGGTATCCTGATGGGAACGGCGGAGAGGGTAAGAGGAAGGACAGTCATCAGTGATAATCCTTCCGGCTGGTATAAACAGTTCCACAATTATACCCTAATTTGGGGGCCAGGTAAGGCAAAAAAAAATTTTTTTTTTAGGTTATTACCTAATTTATAGGTTTGAAAATGGTTATTAACGGTTCACATACGATAAAAGGAGTAAGCTGCTACTCAATTTGGATAGAGCAGTATGTAAAAAGCTTACAGCGATCTATACTGGACAGTGTAAGTTCGACTAACAACACATGCACAAACTCAGACTGACTAGGAATTCATTATGTAGATTCTGTCATGATGAGAATGAAACAGCCTTTCATTCTTTGGCATTGTTTATCAGTGTGAAAGGTTTGCTAGGCTTAGACTCAAGCTGTTTGGGGAGGATCGAGTGGTAAACCAAGAGCTATTGAGTCTATCAACCTCGCAAGCCTATTAAGATACTCAGAAGTGACTAAACTAACGTATTAACCTAAAACGGCATGGTTAATGAACATGGCGCACATATGGTGTAAAAAGGATTATTTAAGGCCTTTATATTATTTCTCAATTCTTCATTATCTTAATGTTTTGGAATTTGCCTCTGAAGCAGCTACTTTTTTTTCCTTTTATATATATTTTTTCAATTACTGTTGATGTTAGATAAACCTTTAAATTATCATTTAATAATAAATAAAAATAATAAATTATCTTTTAATTTGGAAATTATTCATTAAACTATTAGATTCAGTTTGACTTTTGTAATTTTATCATATTGTAGATATTAGTCAATAAATAAAATATATTGTCGATTTATTGCAAAAAGTCATGTAGATTTTTCTGAATGTGTTTATTATAAGAACATTTTTGCGAAATCTAATCTTGTTTACCAATAAAAAACGCAATAATTGCGACAAATAATACAATCCCCTTTTTTTTTATCAAATACAGTTATGGCAAGTGCATATTTTTCTGATTTTACAAAGAGAAAATGCATATAAGTTCTTAGTGATTTTAGGTGAGAAAATAGCAACATAATGGCTTTTCACAATAAACCGATGATTTTATTATTCATGGATGATAGATAGTCAAAGGATTTTCTATCATCCATGATATGTAAAACTGTCGACAAACTTCCATCAATATTATTATTCGTTTCATTGTTGCTCATATTGTATCAACTAAAAACTGTTTAGTTTTAACAACTGTTAAACTGTACAATTTTTGCCTGCTATTTGAGAGACTTGAAGATGTGTCTTGGAATTTTCCAATTACGTCTTGATAATTTTTTTCTTTTTAATAAATTTTTTCTTGGTAATTAATCATATATGCTTTAATAACAGTTACTCTATTCCAGACAACATATCATTTGAAGTAGATGGGGAAAATCGGGAAGACTTGCTACCTGAAAGAGGATCACTCTCCGAACTCTTAGGATTTGACAGCAGCGAGTCAGCAATTTGGCAAAATGGATCACCAATCGCTCCGTTTGACCAAGAAGTAATTTGAAGTGTTTACTTATATACTTATAAATATTTACTTATATATATTAAATTTTTAAAATAAAATTGTTAAATGAAATGTCCAATTCCAAAATAATGTGTTTGCATTCACTAAGGCAAACTATTAGGAGGACCGGGGTGTAATGTCGTTTTCTTACATTAAATTCAAGCACATAAATTTCACACGAGTTTTATTTTTAATCATTGATGGAACCACTCTCATTATCAACAACCTTTTGTCACCTTGTGAGCAAATTTCCGATGCATGATCAATAAAAATCAATTGGTTTTTGAGCAAAATACATAGAGTTGGCATCCTGGACATCATTCAAAGTTGCAAATATTTGGTCACTTAGAAATTGTTCCTAACAAATGGGAATCCGATGGTGCAGTTTCGGGCGAGTATGGTGGATGAGGCAGTACCTCCCACCCCAATTGATTAATTTTTTCCAGTGTTTGTCTTACGCAGTGCGCTCTTGCATTTTTGTGTTGCAGAATAATGCCTTTTCTGTTGACAATCGCTTGCCACTTTTCAGTTAAAGATTGATGTCCATGATGTAATTGTTCACAGTAAAGGTCTGCATTCACAGTTTCAGCATTTCAAAGTAAGCAATGCCAGGAATACTCCAACAAACACACAAAGGGACCTTTTTTGATGTAAACCTGGCTTTAGCAATACTTCATGGCGATTCTTTTTGAGAGAGCCACTGCCTTTTGCATTTTTGATTATCATACATGACCCATTTTTCATATCCGGTGATCAAGCAATTAAAAAAAACAATGCTTCTGTATTGTGCTGTTTAAACAATAAGGTGCATATGGTGGGTTCCCAATCTGCTGCAAATGTTCTTGGATGGTCAACCAAGATTGGTTAAGACTGACAATTCCTCAATTGTCTGACACAGATTTGCTTCGACTTCCGCCCTTAATACGTCATTGTCTAACATTGTTGGTCTTCCCGATCGATACTGGAAGATACTCAAAATTACTGGATTTGAGCCTGAAAAACCATCTTTAGCCTTTAAGAACATCTAATACATTTGGGTAAACATCGCAAATGTTTTTGGTAGCAACTGTTGCGTTAGTACTCTTGCGAAACTCAAAAAGCATGCCATGCTGGATATGCATCTTTTCTGGTAAATTTTAATTTAATTTTTTGTATCTAAAGTCACTATAACCTTAAAATGTCTTTGCCATGACATAGATGTACACTATGAGCTGCCATATGACAATCAAACAGTGACATGCTCAGAAATGACATTACTTTCCAGTCCCTCTAATACTTAATGAAGAACCTTATAAGCAGTGTACCAGTTGGGAACTTCGGAAATATCAAGGAAAATCATATCTCCTCTTATCACCATTTTTATTTATTCATTTTTCATTCATCATTCATTTTTCAAGGCCATCTCAACCACCTCATCACTAAAGATGCTAACATCGCAATAGTCAATTCCTCTCCAACTAGTACATGCACACTAAAAGGTTTTTCCTTTAAAAGTTGTTTACTTTTACTGTTTACTTATGTAGAGATTTACATATTACAGGTTTTTATTTAAAAATATTAAATACATTTTATTTACTTCTTTATTTATTAATTGAATACTTATGGAAATTATTGGATTGCAGTGATATATACCAGATTTAGCATATCACAGATCAATAACAAAATAGATTAGATGTTACTCCAAAAAAGTTCAGCTTATACTTCAGTTAATTTGTTTTGATGGAATATAATATCTCTATTTGGTTGTTCTTTCTTAGAATGTTGGTGTGAGATGTGCTAAATCTAGTCTTCATTTATTTAAACATTTAATTCCATTATTGATGATGCAAGAATTTGCTGAACTTTGAGAGAACGTTTCAAGGCTTTAAGTTGCTATATTCCAATAATGACTTAATAACAATATTTATCTCTTTATCTGAGTTTTTGCTTTTTTTTTAATTAATTGAATATTTACAATTTTTTTTTGTTGTTTTTAGTTTTACATATCATTGGGATTATCAGTCGGAGGAATGAAAGATTTTCCGGATGGCTGTATAACTGGTGAAAGCCATAGCAAACCATGGAAAAATGAAGCTGTTAAGGTAAAAATATAATCTAGCTGTAGGACAGGGTGGGCATAATGAAGAATAGAATTGAATTAAAAGATAAAAAAGAATTATGTCCTTTACCATAACATGAACATATTGTAACATAGATATTTGAAGTTTTAATTAAAATCAATCATTAAAGAGTAAATAAATAAATTATAGGAACCTCCCTGGCTGGATTCAAACTGATTTCACTAGACTTGAAAATGTTAAAACGGGCCATGCTTTAACACGCTCGGTCTCATTGTGATCAAATTAGTCACTTATAATATATAATCACCTCTTGTCATTTGCCAAGAGAATTTAGCTGAACTGTAGCCAAAATAAATTATCTATAACTTGTCAAAACATAGAAAATCACTTGTCAAAGTCTTAACATCCATCTCAAATTTTATAAATGGCTTCATCTTATCGTAACCTACAACTTTCTTATCTAGAAAAATTCTCAGAAATGGGACATTTTCTCATTAAATTGATTAATTTAATGAGGTAGTAAAAATTCATGAATACGCGTTTGTTTTCCACTTGAATCGTAAGATAATTTGATTGCATACAAAAAGTTTTTAAATAAAATAATTAAAACCTAATGCATTAAAACATAACAAAATAATAATAAAACCTGAAAATGAAAATACATGTTTATTAATGGTTAAAAAGATATTATAAAATACCTTTTAAGAACTAAACATCAAAATATTACTAAGTTCCAATCAGTAACAAATAAAAACAGCTTTAGGTAATTGTATATAAAAATTGTAACTAATTAACAATATTTAAAAAACAAAAATGAATATGAAAATAGTTAAAACACTAATTAATAATGAATAATAATTAAAATATGATGTGAAATACTTATTGAACATTTAAATAATTCAAATCACAATTAGAAATAAAAGAAAACTAGCAATGTCTTTAAGTAAAAATTAATTGAAAACATGAACTAAACAAACAAAATGCCTGTGGACTAGGAATTAGTAAGCAACGATATGACCAAAATTTATAAATCAGCTTCTAAATTTATTTCTTAAAACCAAATCTTCTATTGTTTGAAATATTTTTATAATAAGAAAATTATTATTCTACAACAGATGTGATAGAGGTAAATTTTTATCCCTCTTTTAAATCATAATGATCGATACAATATTCCAATTTTGAAGAAAATTATGCACTTAAAATTATAAAAAATATAATCGCCTATAAAAAAAGCAAAGACATTTATACTCAACCTGATGTTTAGAAGTTAATAGGAATGAGGAGAGATAATAAAAACCAGAAAATGAAAAAAAATCCATATTTTGAGAAGTCCATAACTGAATCTTATTTCATTATTATTTGATTATTGAAAATTAAACTAGAACTGTATTACGGAATTTCATCTTCAATGTTCCATTTTAAATCATTATTTCTAATTGTTATATTTATCTATTTGAATTAGTCCAAATATGCAATATAAAATTTGACTAATTGCATTGATTCGTATAGATATTCGATCACCAGTTCAAAATCTGCATACAAACAAAATAGGCAAGTGCATAAAATTCTGGGCCTTGGTCATAAGTATAAGTATTCATAAAAAAAGGTTATGAATTAGAAAATAATTATTTTAAAAAAATTATTATTTTTATAAATATATTTCCTTAACTCTTTGATACTTCAATATAAGAAGTTTTTATATTTGTATGTGTATGTTTTCTTGTTTTTTTTATAATTTTTAACTATTTGAAATTGGATATTTATTAATTTTTATTTTTCATAATTGCTTATATTGTTTTCTATTATAGGCAATGGTTAACTTCTGGCAAGACCGGGACAACTGGTTATCGTCTTGGAATGATCATTATTCGCAATTACAAGTTGAACATGTTTCTGTGTATGCATTGTGATTAATTAGTATTAGTTCAATATTATTTAAATACATTTTTTTATATAGTCACATTTATTTTTTATAAATGAAATATTTATTATCATTGAAAGACTTCCATTGTTTTCCACTTTATGCCTTTTGAAAAATTCATACCTGTTTTTTCTATGTTAGATTAAAAAATAATTCAAATGTTCCTAAAGCATAACATGTACAATAAAAATACTTTTCATAAAAAATCTCTATCAGTACAATCCATGAAGGGACTTTATGTTTTGTACTTTGTAAGGAACTACAGTTCTGTGAGAAGGTGATTATTTTAATTATTGGTATCCACTTTATAAAGACTGGGTGTGTCCTAAGAGGGAGAACATAAAAATGTTCCTATTTTCCCGGTCATGGGTTCGAGTCAAACTGTACACCCATAAGTGATTTTTCAATAAATTAATGTATTAGTTTATTGATTTTTTTTTAATTGAGAAAGTATTTATAATAAATTATCAGTCTTATTCTTAATCTTTATTGATTAATGATCTGTGACAAAATCTTGAAAATTGAAGATAAACATTACTCTAAACATATCAATTTGAAATAATTTTATTAATTTTTGTTCGAATCTAACCTTGAGAAATAGTTTTATGCTGAGACTTTAGCAATGAAATCGTAATACACATTATGAAAAAAAAAATGGCTAAACAGTTTTTATTTAGATCAGTATTGCTTATAAAATAAAATGGATTGGCAGTAACTCCATCATAAAAATCTTTAATCAATACTGTTAACCAATAAGTATTTATTTAAAACTGGTTTTATAGCTTATCTATAATGAATTTAGAGGTATAAAGCCATTGGAATTTTTTTTAGAATTTGTTTGAAGTTGATTCCTGACAGCTGTTTCTGTTTGCCACTTAAGGTATTTTTTTAATCAATACCTATATGATCTTTGTATAATCAATTAAAAAACTGATAAATTATCAGTTAAAGAAGAAGAAATATATTCTTCCTCAATAGGTTCCATGGTAATGGTAAGTTTTATTTTATTGTATTTTTATTTATTTATTTATATATATACATTACATCATGTTAAAATGATAAATTCCATGTTTGTGGTTGCAGTAACCTTATACATGACATACTAGTGGTATGAATGTTGTTTAGTAGATTGAAATCCATTTTATACAGTAGGAAAAACCTCATAAAAAACCTACATAAGATATAAATGAAAAACTAGATAATAATCCTTAAAATTACAAGAAAACAAAATATAATTTATATACATAAGAAAACTATATATATAATTATACATACTTATATACACACATACATGCACATATATCCGAAAATCGATAACTGTCCTTAAACAGCTACTAAGATTCCGTGATTGTATTCCTCTAAAAACCTAAATGGTGTATGGTGGGGTGTCTGCCAGGCTGGAAATAAGATTAAAGAACCTCATGAACTGTTTCATAAGATACATCTTTGGGATCTCCAAGTGGTCCCATGTTTCATTCAGGTAAACTGAGTTGAAGTGGCTTTATCCTACTTCCCGACGACAATTCCTCCTTGGTGTTTTCCTTTTCCAAGTCCTCAGAACCAAAAACTCTCTCAATACCAGGTCTCAACCTTCAGATTTATACATCCCCTCCCATAAAACTACTTCCCTCAGCAAATCTTTCGTCAGTTGTGCTGCCTCCTTTTGGAACTCTCTACCTAACTCAATCCTCGTCCACAAATTCCTTCAAACAACCCCTGTTCCACCACCTACTCCATATTCAAACTTCCGCAAACATGTGAAATTCACTTGCATCTGTACAAAGTCTAATTCAATCAACTGCAAAATTTCAATAACAATCATCAGTTAATTAAAACATCGTCTGCTGTGATTTAATTACAAATATATGATATTTATTACTAATTAATTATGTCATAATTACTATTCCTTTTCAAAATAATAATATTTAATATCAGAGGGACTATTGTTGTCAGTACGGCGTTTCCCGCCTTTTGTTCTTTTTTGGTTGTTCATCTAGATAATAGCAATGTTCAAGAAGGGATTTGATGATGAGCATCTCATCGAAATACGGATATTTCTTCTTATGAACAACATTTTCTCTTCTTCTTTTTCCTCCTCAAATAAAAAAGCGATAGTTAGAGATGTTCATTACTATATCATGTCCATTTTTTTGTCTTCGAAGCTAAAGCGAAATGTTCGAAGGTTATAACAACCCCAGTGAGCAGTTTCAGCGAAATATAGCTACGCAAGAGCGGTTGGCAGCGTGGAATTGCGGTCGCTGTCGCGGGCCGCGCCAGCAAAATAGTACCTTTAGCAGACCCGGATCGTGCTAAGGTCGAGTGTGCTATTAGCAATATTTAATACTCATTTCTTTCACTCTTTTCTAATACGCCATACTTGAAAAATCGGCTTTTTAATTAAGGCTGTTTATAATGCTCAAAAAAAGTGGTATAACCCTGCAAGATCGTTAAATATTTTTAACACAATATTTAGCTGCTAGCACGGGCGGATCTACGGAGAGGAGGGGGGCTTTCGGGCTGAAGCCCTCCATAAAATGGTGAAATATAACCATGTTTTATCGAAAAAAATATTAAAAAAGTATTGTTGTTCGTGTAGTTACATTTAGAAGAGCTTTAGAAATCACTCGAACACCATTTCATACAGGTAGGTAGTTTCTTTCCTTTTTTCCAAAGTAATTAACGTTATTTTTATGAAAAAAACAACTTTTGGGCTGAAGCCCTCCCCCCCCCAAAAAAAAAAAAATCCTGGATCCGCTAGTGGCTGCTAGGGACCATGGTTGTATTTGAATTATAAAATATGTTTTATTTCAAGTATAAACTATTAATACTTATTCTAATTGGAATAGAAAAAGCATCAGTTCTTATTTAAAAATATCTGCAAAGAAAAAGTTGAATCAGCAGCTTGATTTTTATTTTTAATAAATTTTATTTTTCTTGTAAACTTTAGTGACTTCTTTGAAAAATCAGAATTTTTGAGACGTGATTTGAAATGTGTGAACGATACGAGTTTCTCGAATTTGGGCCACTTAGCACGTTTAACATACTTAGCGCGGATTGCGTCGATTACTCCTTCTTTGTTCTGTCTGCTAAATGACCAACATATTGTTTTGTCAACTCGTAGATGTCTGCGTGAGGTTACAAAGTATCAAGTGGCTATTTTTTCCTTAGCTTTAGTTAGTTTAAATTTTATTATTTTTCTATATTTTAAAATTATAAACGTAGTTAGGAAGTATAATTCTTTATACATAAGTTACTTTAATTTAAATAAAGTAACATAAAATGGAGAAGAAGAAGAGAAAGAGGATCAAGAGTTTCAACAAATGGTGGACGAAGGAAGACACGCTTGTTTTTTTACGTAAAGTTTTAGAAAATAAAAACACATTTGAGGTTAGTAGCTTTTTACTTGTAAGTGAACGGGTGATTGTTGAAAGAGAGCAGTCATCTTTTTTTTTTTTTTTTTTTTTTTCATTTCTGTGTTAAATTTAAATTTGCAATATCTGGTGATTAATAACCGTTGTATGTTAAAAGGTGCTTAATATTTTGTGTAGTTTTTCTGTTATTAGTAATTTTTACAGAGAGTCAGTAGGAATGAAAGTCAGTGACCTGGAGAGTTTTTAACTATTGACAGTTGTGCTAAAAGTTTAACAATTGACTATTAGGCTGTGGTTTTTTTTTTTTTTTGGTTTTTTTGCGGCTTGTTGAAATAAATTATTAGAGGTATCTTCACCAAACAGAACTTACATTGACAAGTCTTAATTAAAAAAATAAATAAATAAACCAACTATTAATAATTTTTAGTGTTTGTTGGTTCAATACACACGCGACCGTGTTGAGTGAGCTTGTTGAGGCGTTGCCCGCTTTAGCATTCGTGAGTCTAGTGGTGCTGATTCGAATCCGGCCTGGACACGTAATTTATTTCGTAGCGGACCCACGGAATGAAGCTTGGCCTTGCCACTCTGGTCAGATGTACCTCCAGAACCACCCTCTCGTATGCCAGGAAATGGCGAGGTTACAACCTCATTTCCTAATGCATTACTTTTCCCATAAAGATAAATCAATTTTATTCAAACTTTGTACACTGAATAAAGTGTGATAGTAATTTGTTTGAGATTATTTCGAATTAACTTCTTTCAAAACCTGAGTAAGCCTTTGTGCCAATTAAAAGTTAAATCCACAATCCCTAGAACATGCCTTCACACTCCTTAGAAAATGCCTATCTTGGGAGTATGGTTACTATCGACGGTCCATTAGCAATCAACACCGTCTAAACGTTTTCTTACTTGGCGATTCATTATTCCAAATTGAGTAAAATGTAACAAAACTAAATAATACAGTTCTTTATCCACAATACATATATAAAATTAAATTATTATGATCTGACGTTAATATAATCCATATCTAATAAGCCCTGGAGCCAGAGCCCAAAAATCGACCTGATCGCAGACGAAGATTTCAGTGTAAATTACAAAAGTGCATGTTATTGTAAGTAAAATGAACACCTTGTCTGCTATTTCAAAGCTGCTGTATTAAAAAATGGCGGCTGATTTAAACAATGTCAGACCGTTAATTTAAAGATCGAAACGCGAAAATCATTGCGTAAAATGTGAGAAAAGTTTTTATTATTTTAACTTATACATGTGGTTCTAAAAGTGTAAAAATCTAAATCGCTAACACGGGCCACCAAGGAAAAATTTTTAACAACTAAAAAAGCTAGATTTTTTGCTATTTTTTTGTTTTTTCACCTATAGCTTCCAAGCGATGCATCGAAGCGAAACAAATACTCTTTAAGAAATTACAGATCGTGAAGTTGTGCTTCGAACGAGTACCTAAACTTAATTTGGTTAAATGGTACGGTAGAAAACCACAGTCAATCAACGCTGAATTTTTCCAAATTTGTCAAAAACTGAGACAAATTACCATAAATGGCGCTGTAGCTTGGAAATGAGTTCCTTAAGAGGAAAACTCATCGGATCAAAGTTGTAGAGCATAAAATTTCTCGTCTACTGAGTAGTAACATTTTGATTTTATGTCAATTATATATATTAACCTATTCGTTATTTCTTTATTAAATCTGTATCTTTCGACACATCGTTTCTCAAAATCCATCGCTTCTGAGAGGTGGAAAACAGATTTATACTGCATATAACAGGCTCAAAACAAGAATAACTCACTAGACACCATACTATTAAAATATCGAAAATCACGCATACATTCATTACCAATTTCCAGTCAACGGGACATTACCGATTTTGTTCAAAGTAAGTGACCTACATTAAAATTGTTGGTACTCGGTGGACGCAAAATTTTATGCGCTACAACTTTGATTCAAAGTGTTTTTGTTCTTAGGGAACTCATTTCTGAGCTATAGGGTCATTTACAGTAATTTGTCTCAGTTTTTGACAAATTTGGTGAAAAGTAACGTTGGTTTGCCTTGGTTTTACCACTTAATCAAATTATTAGGTTAACTGCGTTCTCTTTCGACGCACAATTTAACGTCCTTTAATTTTTTAAAGAGTACATTTTTCGCTTTGTTGCATTGTTTAGGAATTAAATTTGAAAAAACAAAAAAATCGAACATTTTTGGGCCAAAAAATGTTGGCTCTGAAAAGTTTTCCCTTGGTGACCCGCGTTAGCAATTTTGTTTTTTACATGTCTAAACCAATATGTATAAGTTAAAAAAATAAAAACTTTTCTCACATTTTTCGCAATGAATTTCCCGTTTCGATCCTCAAGTAACTGATTTAATATTCTTTAAATCAGCCGCCATTTTTTAAAGCTGCGGCTCTGGTACGGCAGACAAACTTCATTTTACTTATAATAACAAAAAATTTCGTAATTTACAATCAAACTTTCGACTGCGATCAGGTCGATTTTTGGGTCTTGGCTTCAGGGCTATAAGAGAAGAAATCTGGCGCGAGAATCACACAAATTTCACTTGCCATCCTCTTCTTAGCAGAAATAAGTATTTTCAGACAATGGGGAAGTGAAAGTAAAAATTATAAATACTATATTGATTTATATTTCAGTGTAGATACTTTTATTTGTTTAAGTACCTCCATATATGCAAATTTTAATATTTATATCGCTATAATTTATACAATTAAATATTAAATAATACCAACGAAAACGTTTATGGGCGCTTGTATCCCTCCATTACAACTACTATCCGTTACGATCTCTTATTCCTCCTTTAGTTAATTATCGAATTCTTTCATATTTTATATTTAACTATTTTTTATATCAAACATTAATGTGAAATGATTAAGTATTTCAAATAAAAAAAATTAAAGATACTTTAAAGGAAGCCAATATTGAAAATTAGCCATTTAAGCTCTGATGGAGAACATCAATGAGAATAAAACCTACATTATATTAAAATCTGCTTAATAACAAATATACTGATATACTGAGTTTAATACTTACCTTTACTATATATTACATATATAGGTAAGTGAAAGTAAAAATAAATATGTTTTTAAAAATGAATTATTAAGTTATGTTGATGATTATGTATGCTCACATTAGCAACTTCCTAAAACAATTATGAAGATTATTAAAAAGTCGAATATGTCTCCACTTTTTTTCGAATTAATCTATGCCTAAATTTGACCAAAAATTTAAATTACTCATAAAGATAATTAATCTAAAATCATAAATAAGTATATAAATCTTAAGTTTTTTTTATAATTATAAATTGACCATATCACCATTTAAGATCTGAACTACAGCCGGATCTAAGGGATGGGGCTTTCGGGCTGAAGTTCACTTTGGCAAGTTCCTAAACTCATCGATGGCAATCAGCGCGTTTTTTTTATTCGATGATAGAAACACGGATGGTTCATCAGTTAACCAGGCTATTGGGGTTCATGGATTCACTGAATGTTACCTCATTAAAACTTCAGTGTTGTTATTTCTCAATTTAGTTTACATATTCATGTTCTTCGGTTTGTTAATCTGAGGTACATAAAAACAAGTGAAAATTAATCACTAACGGATTTTTTTTCCTTTTATCTAAGAATGAATGAGAGCATGTTCGTGAACTCAGGGCTGATCTCACTGATGTGCATCGAAATCCATCAGTCTGTTCTTAAACTCATCAATGGAATTCAGCTCGTCCACTTATTCATCGACAGAATCACCTAATAACTTAGCGGTTCCATTGGCTTTAGGGGTTAATGGATTCGCAGCATGTGACCTCATTATAAACTGAGTATTGTTATTTCTCAGTTTACTTAACATATTTATATTATGTTATATTATATTATATTTATTTCTTATTCGAAACTTAATAGTTCGCTAAGTTAATATTTTTGTTTTGTAACCTTCCTGGAGGGTTATCTTTTTGCTAGAATCCAGCAGTTCGTTCTTTAACTGAGTATAAATCAATGTCTATTGGTGGTGAATTTAATCGATTGATGGATTCTTTAGTTTGAATTAGCGCTGTTGCTCTGTGTTTTGGCCTCTTTTAACAACCTCCCATTAATTTTTTTTAAATATGTATCGTTCTAAAAAAAAAATAAATCTGCAAACTACATTTCTTATAGAAACCTTCAGCGCAAATTTTCTATAAAAAAATTATTGTTGAAGAAGATTCTCTCGCAGAATATTCGTGGAGGGAAATGAGAGACCGTATGAGAAACTTAAAGAAGAAGTACAAGGATGCCTTAACATGGAAAGTCAATACTAGAGTTCTGCATTTAGACTATAAAAGTGAAACAGCGGTTGTGAGTGAGTAATTGAAGTTATTTAATTTTGATTAATTGTTATTAACAAATAACTTGTAAACCTCTCACAAGTAGGATAGTGTTAGTATGTATTATGTTTTATGATTTGCCGTCCTAAAATCTACAAGAGAAACCGTTTTTGAAGTATAGTCTTCTACAAGAAAAAACAAAGGCCTGATCAAAAGAAGTTGACGAAAGTTGATGAAATCGATACTGGACCCCCATAACTTATGCCCATCACATAAAGTTGACTACCGAATAAACTTTAAATTAAACTAGCTGACCGTGCGAATACTTCGCACAAACTTTATATCTGTATGTTCCATTCAGTAATGTTTATATGTATAGGTTTAATACTTTTATTTAGTAAGTTATCAGTTTATAAATATAATAATCTATAACCATCCATAGATTAATCCTTTCTAGTTTCATTAAATTTATAATTATAATATTATATGTTTTCTTAAGTTTACAAAAGTTTCTAAATATCTGATGTAGGCTAAATACTTTGAATTTAGTTCTCTGGAAGGTACGTTTTGATCTAGCAGTCCGTATTAACAGAAAATACAAAATAAAGAAAGAAATGTTTCTTTTGTCATGAAAAAAAATCAAGTAAGCTTTTAAAATGATAAACATCTAATAGCTTATATATAGATAATATTTAATTTAAAATGAAGTATATAACATTCCATATTTATAGCAATATAACAAATTTAATAATCAATTTTACAAAAGCAAATGTTTTGAAATTAGCTAGAATAATTACTTATTGATACAATGTATACTGTCTCAGGAAGAAAAGCGTCATTGCTAAAAATTTTAAATTCCGAATGAAAAGTAGAAGACAAAATAGGGTAGATTAAGAAATACTTTTATACCATTTTCTTTTAAATAAGAAAATCTACTAATAAATTTATAATATCGAGGAAAAGCTTTATTTTACCCTTATATATTTATTCCATGATTTAATTAATTTAAATGATCCATGCATGCAGAATACATATATATAAGAATAAAAAAAAAGCTTTTTCCTGCATATTATGAATTTTATTATTTATATATACCGTTAAAAAATTTTAAAGATTGAAAAAAAAATTAAATTCTACTGAAATATACTTGATGAAACAATCATTACTACAATAGATTTAAAGTTTTTGAGTGATCCAAAACTGAAATAAAGGAAAAAATCTTTAAAGTAGAATTAATACTAAATGTTTAAAACGCTATATCTATGCAACACGTAGTCCGATTTCGATGATTTTTTTCACGTTTTGTAGGGAATTTAGTAAGGTTTCGAATGCATAATGGGCCAAAAATTGCGTCCTTTTCGAGTTATTCCCAAATTACGAATTAGTTTGTAGCGTCTCGATACGGCACCATCATACAGTTTGAAACCTCCCACTTTTACATTCACTGTTATTTCAGTCCAGGTATAAAATTAGGAATCAAAATTACGATTCGCGCACTCTACGTGATGTTCCCTTTCTATTGATACCGCATTCATGAAAATCCATCACTCCTCAGAGCCGGAAAAGAGATATATATTTGAGAAATAATATATAATATTTTCTGAAAGTTTAAAATATTATAATTATGATATGCCCGTTACATCGACTTGACTACAAACAGACGCCGAACTAAGTTTATTTCTTGATGTCTGAAACGTAAAACGCGAATGGAAATTTTTGAATCTGAGGACAAAATTTTTTTTAACCTCTCTCACGAATAAAATGCATCTTTACCTTCGTTAGGGAGTAAGCAAAATGTAAATTTGTCTCTTCATTTCTGTAACGTAAAATACGAGTAAAAATGTATTCAATCAAGCAAAGCTTTCATACCATCGGTAGGGAGGAGGCAAATATATTTTGATAAATAGATTTAGTTGAATTGCCAAATAACTAACACTACTATTTATTTGTTTAGATTACATGCTTCGACTGTGTCCCTTCTTTAAAGAAATTGATGAAATTTGTCGAGGAAATGCCAATGTCCCATCGCCGCTCGTATCGGATTCTACCAACTCTGTTTCAGTGCTTGAAGGGGGTGGAAATTTTAAAGGAGTCGTGATAACAGAGAGTGAAGAAGAATACCCATTAAACCAACCGTCTTGGGTAGCAACGACTGCAACGCCACTACAACCTGAGGATCAGCTGGAAACACCATCCCTTCACGGCAGGATTTCATATAAGGAAATTGTAAGTGGAAATCCAGGCATGGAAAGCGTGAAAGTTCCTCCAAATTATCTTACACAGGTAAGATGATTAATTATTTAGCATGCTAAATAAGAATGCTAGTAACTATCATATTTTAGACATTGCTAATGATAGTTTACATAACTAGTAGGCCCGTGTGAAAAATTCGCACAGCAGTGATCAAATGCCAAATTAATATGAGTCTATAAATATTTAAAAAAATGCTTTCAAAGTTTTAATCAAATAATGTAGATCTTTTCGCACGTGCTCTCAGACAAAAACAACGGATCATGATGCACTATATAAGTTGTATAAATGATCAATACATCCTGTACATAAATGACCAACCCATCACCTTCAACACTACAGTTAAAAAGTTAGGTGTTATCATAGATCAAACCCTCTCCTGGAATCACCATATGTCCCTCAAATCCCGACGTTCAATTTCCATCCTGAAACTCTTCCATCGCTTCCGCCATCTCCTCTCCATATCCACACGTAGACTCCTAGTATCCGCCCTCATCTTCCCCCACATTGACTACGGCTACGTAGTGTACGGTGGCCTCTCATCGGAACTTGGAGACAGACTGAAAAGAATAATGAATGGCTTAGTACGATTTGTCAATGGGACCCCGAGACGTTCTCATGTTTCCCACTACTACGCCGAGTTAGGTTGGCTCTTTCCCTCCTTCAGAAGACAGTACTTCCTAGGTACATTCCTTTACCAAATAATCTATAATCATCGTCCGTCCTACGCATTCAATCTCCTTCAATTCAAGTCATCTATCCACTCCCTCTCCACAAGATCTCGTCCTTCCGACCTTTATACCCCTTTCCACAAGTCGGCCTCATTTCAACACTCCTTTATTATCCGCTCCACCACATTTTGGAATTCCATCCCACTTAAAATCCGCCATGCAACATCCTTATCCACATTTAAAACCCTCTTATTCCAATTCCTCCTTACAATTCAATCAGACGCTGGGTAACCATTTATAATGTATATTATATATGTATATAATCTCCCCTATATGTATATTATCTTTTCTTTTCTCCAATCAATCAACATCATAGGATTTAGATTATATAGAACTTGTATAATGTTTACAATACTATTATTGTATTCTTCGAACATACTAAGATACAAATGTAAATCATTTAAAGTAAATAATTATCCACTTTTTTATTATTATTTTTTTTCAATTATACAATGGCATGACAACAAAAGTTATTTGTCGCTCATTTATAATTCCATAGCTTATTGTTTATAGCAACTATTTTGCAGTATTAGGACCTTACTGCACATATTATGTCTTTACTATATCTGTGCAGTTATGTAAATACTTCCTTTATCTCTTATTTTTTAGTTTTTTTTTTTTTTTTTTTTTTTTTTATTGTAATATGAATTTCGGCCAGATGTTATGTTAATTTTATGTACAATATTGTTATTCTCAAGGGACTTTGTCCCAGAATAAAGTTGATTCTTCTATTATATTTTAAGTTTGAGTGAAAGTTCCAACAAATCCGATCAAATCACCTTTACCCTCCGTCGTAAACCTATGACCTCTTGTCCTACAGTATCCTTCAATAATACTCCACTTATTCCTGTTGAGAAAATCCGCTACTTAGGACTCCACCTTGACAAACGACTCACTTGGAACCCCCATACCAGACTGAAACGACTAGAAACCGCCCGACGTTTTCGACTACTGCAGCACTTACTAGACAAACGATCTAAACTTTCAATCAATTATAAACGACTCGTATATATGACAATAATAAGACCTATTTGGACTTACGGAATTGAGCTTTGGAGCTCCACTAAACCATCGAATTCCTCTCGTATCCAATCCTTACAATCCAAAATCCTTCGTAAAATCCTCAACGCTCCTTACTTTGTCACAAATAAAATCATCCATAAAGACCTTAATGTTCCATATGTTTCCGATCTGGTCCAATCCAGATACCTTTCCTTCCATAACAAACTGCAGAACCATCCGAATCCTCTCGTTTCTAACCTTGCTTCCTCCTCGATCCCTGATAACCCTCCGAGGCGTCTGAAAAGAAGATGGCCTCGGGATCTTCTAATATAGAACTTTAATTTGAGTTCTACCAATGGGTAGTTTCTCTTCATGTTGTACATGCCATGTTACCAATTTCTCATTTACTTGTTGTATTCTCTATGTAATACAGTTGTAAATTCCATTAAAATAATAATAATAAAAAAAAAAGTTTGAGTGACATTTTTATAATGGTACCTTTGTCTTTTTGTTTCTAGTTTAAATTAAAATTTTATAATTTTTTCAAAAGTCTGCATAAAAATGCATTTATATCTATAATTTATTCTATCATTCAGATTTTCAGATATCGTTACTATTTGTCAATGTTGCCAATATTTAAAATAAATAAATTCGTTTATTTCAGTTTATATTTTCAATAAATATTTTTCGGAGTTGTATTAATTAGTTGTTATTTTCAATATTAAGATGATTGACAGAACCTCGGATTTATTTTTGTCCTGTCATGGAAGGAATTTACCTAATACTTGAGATTAGGTTCTAGTTAACTTCTCAGCCCTAATTAAAATTCATCTATTATAATATAAATTATATTAGTATAATTATTGCAGGTGTTCCATTCCGAAAATAGTAAGCAACAATCAGAAATAGAAGTTGAATGTCTCAGTTCCAGCAATCATTCCGAGAGAATTCAACCTGCTACATTACAAATTGCTTCAAAAATCGATACATCTGGAAAGACAAATAGAAAGCTCAGTCAACCATTGCCTTCATCATCAAAAAATAAGAAGACTCCTTTTGATCACGAAGTAAGAGCTAATGATGAACTTGAGGAAATGCCAAAACGTTCAACACTAGTCACTGTAAATAAAGTTGATAATTTTGATCATTTTGGTAAATATGTTTCATCCATTCTTCGTAATTTGAGAAAACAATCAGCTTTGAGACTACAAAAAAATATTTCTAATATGATAACAAAAACTATATGCCGACCAGCTGATTTCTCCAAAAATAATAATGCGGATGGCGACATTGAAGATGATGAGGATCATTGTTATGTCGGCCATATTACTACAATTAATACATCGACAATGATTGTAAGTTCGCTATTTTTTTATTCATTTACTACATTTCAATAATTAATACTTTCGATACACAGATTTCGATCTCCATGGGGCGGACGGTGGGGAAGCGTTCTCGCTACATTTTGAATAGCTCCGTATATTTACATAAAATAACAAAAATCTTACAAATTAGTATCATCATTAATATTGTACTGCATTTCTTGAAACTATAAAGTGAACTCTTGTTAAAATATACCAAGAATGACCAAAAATATGTATTTGTAAAATCATTAACTAAAATTCCGTGGTACAGACTCCTTTTTATCAAATTATTAACATCCGCCTGGAACTTCATAAATAACTTCATATCATCGTAACCTACAACTATTTTATTTTTATGAGAAGGAGTTAGTCGAGGGTGCGGTCAAATTAATAAAAAATTAAAATATATTAATTATTTTAATTTTTGCCGACGTTTCGACCCACTTTACTTAAGTACTTACTTATTCAATTTTCAATCTATTTATTCGTTAACATTCATTTATTCGTTAACATTCATGTATTTATTTCCTTTATCTGTTAACCCACAGCTATCTAATGTAATCTCTATTAGTTTGTTATACACTTATTCCTTATCTTTTATCGCAATCTGTTTATTTTTAACTTACTTCCTATATTCTCCCTTATTTTTATTTTTATTCCTACTTATTTTCCATTTATTTGTATCTTCTACATATATAATTCTTAATATTTAACTACATTGTCACCCACTATATCTCTGATACCATCTTTTATTTCTGTATCTGACAACTTCTTCTTATTTTATATACACTTATATTTATTTTTTATTTTCAACATGTTTTGTATCTTTTGTAGCTCTGAAGACGACCTGCAAAGTGGGTTGAAACGTCGGCAAAAATTAAAATAATTAATATATTTTAATTTTTTATTTATTTGACCGCACCCTCGACTAACTCCTTCTCATATTATATCAACGGTCAACCATCTCTACATCATTATTTTATTTTTAAAAAATCATAGAATTGCTGGAGTAGTATTTCATCATATACTATAAAAATCATAGTATTTTCAATCTGAAGGTCGGCAAACTTTGTCTATTTAATTAGGTACTAAAAACTTATAAATACCTATTCAACTCGAATCAGGATAATTTTATCACAAAATCGAGAAAAAATGAGGCCTATATTGGGCCGTTTGGTATGTACAACTTCGTTATTTTATCCAAAAAAAGGCCACCTTTTTTTCTCGATTTCGTGATCAAATTATCTTACGATCCAAGTGGAATGCAAATGAGTATTTACGAGTTTTTAGTACCTAATCAAATTGATAAAGTTTGTCGATCTCCAGATTGAAGACGTCGCAATTCCAAGAGTTTTCGTAAATAAAATAGTTGTAGTTACGATGAGATGAAGCTATTCACGAAGTTTCAGGCGGATATTAATAATTTGATAAAAGGGGAGCTGTACCACGAAATACAAATTTGAAGTATTAGGTTGGCAAATAAGTCCTTTCGGTTTTTCTGTTTATTTTTATCTCACTATGAAACACTTGTTATATGATGAATTAATCCCTAAGGTGGATTGTTTACCCGTCAAAATTGGTTTGCCAAATTTCATTCACGAAATTTTGACATCAACTATTCTCAACCGTCTGGTCTCCCACATGAAATTAAAACGAGCAATGTTAAGGCCATGTTGATCAAATTCTCACCTAATCAGTGCGAGATTGCTGTCACACACAAGCGTAGAAAACCATTTGCACAAGCTCGGCTATGTTTCCAGGCTTAATGTTTGGGCCCGTCACTCTCTAAGCAAATTCAACTTGGCAACACGTGTTTCTGTTTGTGATTCACTATGGAAACGGCAACAAAACAATCCATTTTTGAAAAGGTTGGTAACAGAAGATGAAAAATGGATAATGATAATGTAGTCTGTAGAAAATCTTAGGGACCTAGTAGTGAGGCTCCTAGAAGAATGTCAAAACCCGGATTGCATCCAAAGAAGATAATTCTTTCCATATGGTGGGATTTCAAGGGTGTTATTTTCTATGAGCTATGAGCCATCAGGACAAACAGTTGATTCAACTCTATACTGCTCAGAATTAATAAAATTGGATCAATCAATTAAAAAAAAACGCCCGGAACTGGCAAATCGAAAGGGTGTTGTATTCCACCAAGACAACGCTAGGTCCCAGACCTCACCCTCCCTATTCTCCAAGACCTAGCTCCAAGTGACTACCACTTATTTCAGTCTCTGGAGAGCTCCATGAATGGAAAGAAATTCCAAAAGGAAGAGAACATCAAAAACCACTTGGACCAGTAAACTCCAGATATTCTATGAACATGACATTACGCAGTTAGTGGAAAGATGGGAAAAAGTCAAATAAAATAATGTTCAATACATTGTAGATTAAAATAAATTTTATGTATATAATACATTGAGTTTTATTTCACCATGAAAAAACGAAAGGACTTATTTGCCAACCCAATATTTAATTTTTAATTTATAAATGGTGTTAATTGAATGATTTTATAATTACCTACTTATCTTTAAATAGTTTTATATTGTAAGATTATGTTATTAGAATTGATATTTAGTGAATTAATTTTGTAAATAAAATGTATAACGTTTTTCATTATATGATTTTTCATTATTTTTTATGTGAAACAATTTCCTTTGTCATCAAGTACTGTCCTACATTGTAACTTTAAAAACCTGGCAAGTCTAGGTTCAACAGTGTTCGTGATCAGCTTTAACAAATGGAAAACGGGCTGTCCTTAAAAATAGACATGAGCAATCTAGTCATTTGTTTTGTTTTTTTCCTTCTCCTACATAATGTTGTCTTTCTTCTCATTTATGCGATGAGCAATATTTTGCTGTTTCGGCAGCATTTATAGCAATATCCAAATGACATTTCAATAAAAATGGATTTAACATTTAATAAGTATTTTCACAAAACTCTCGAAACGGGTTAGAAAATATTTTTAACTTTATACTAGTCACATCATAGCCCCGGGAACCCGACAACATGATTAACTGAAGCTAGTTTGAAACAATAATAACGAGTTCGCATACCGTTGCCAAGGGGCTTTTAACTCTGGCTTAATCTCCCACCCTCACTTCTGCTCAGGGAAAACCCCATATAACCTTAAAGGCGAGGAAGGAGAGGACACAAAAAATAAATAATCTATTAAGGAAGGAGATTGTCCGAGGTGGCGGTTATAAATAGGCTAAATAGTGGCAAAACTGTTTTATTAAAAGCCAACGTTTCGATCCGACTTTGCAGATCTTCTTCAGGGAGATGTGTTCTAAGTGAATCTCCTAGCTGAACACACTCCCACACTGAACTCCCTGAAGAAGACCTGCAAAGTCGGGTTGGCTTTTAATAAAATAGTCTTACTACTATTTAGCCTATCCTCTCTCCAGCCTACTCTACAATCTCCTTCCTTTATGATGCAACGGTCAACTATTAAATATTCAAAATAAACTATTCTAAATCCGTCCAATTGCTTTCGTGGATAGTGGATTCAGGGCTCTCATGTAGAAAAAAGGAAGAGATGCCAGAATCGAAAAATTGATCATACTTTTAAATAATAATATGTTTACTGCATTTACCAGTTCAGAAATGAAACGGAAAGCTCAGGATTCTACGTTCTGACGGAGAGCGATCTCCCTCCACTAATGTCCAAGGAGAACTTTTTTTTTTATTGGATAAACCCCTGCCCACCATTGCTGGCATAGGGGGGGAGTGGTTGTCCTAGAGGTTCAAGCAAACCTATTCTAATCAGAGTGGGAGGGTCGAGTTTCATTACGTGGGTCCGCCACGAAATAAAAGTCAACTATTCCCAGGCCGGATAGTTGGAATGAATCGGCGTCGCTAGGCACGAGGATGCTAGACACACTCGGCCATCACGACCTCAGTCCAAGGTGAACTACTAGTACTATAAGGCCTTCGTGTACAGGTGGAATGAATTCGTTGGTCCAACCCAACATGATTCCTCAGGTAGAAGAGATGGACCTGCATCCGGAGGGCCTCCAGAAGGGATGAAAGGAGACGTCGGCTGAAAAGAAGAGCAGGTTGTGTGCACAGCTGGAAAAAAATGTTATTGGTCTGAATGCAGTAGTGAGTTATAATGGAGGCATGTGCTGCTAACCACTGCTGCATAACACCCCTGTAGCCTTACAGACAGGGTAGGGTTTCAAATAAATATTACGAATGTATTCTTTAATAAAGTTAGCTTATTCATAAAGTAATTTTAATAAAATTAATTTATGAGTTTTCCGAATCGGGAACTAACATGAAAAAAACATAGACTACCCCATCTCCCTATCGTATTTTCGGTCTCCCAGACCTCCTTATCCCTTTATCTTTCCTGACAGGTCCGAGGAATAAAAACTCGTAAATATCCATTTGCTTTCCATTTAAATAGTAAAATAATTTGAGTATAAACTCGAGAAAAAGGGGTCCTTCAAAAAATATTGAGCCGTTTGGCGTGACCTATACGCTGAAAATATGAAAATTACGTGATTGTATATGCCAAACGGCCCAATATTTTGAGCCCTTTTTTCTCGATTTTGTGATAAAACTAACGATCTAAGTGGAAAGTAAATGAGTATTTAAGAGTTTTTAGTACCCGATTAAATAGACAAATAAAATAGTTGTAGGTGCTGATGAGAAGAAGCTGCTTAGGAAGTTTCAGGCGAATTTTAATAATTTAATATAAAGGGGTGTGTACCATGTATTAAAGGCTTTAGTTTTCTTTTCATTGAAATCATATCAATCTAGTGTACGATGACCAAATAATAATGGTCGGACTCAACTGTGGACCTCTGTAAGACCTATCATTCGTAATGTTGGACCTATTTCTAATGCTTTATCCGATTAGAATTTAATAAATCTGATTCACAGTTTTCCCACTAAAGGAGATCCATGTTCTAATATTTTGGATTATAATTAATCGATTGATCGTTTTGTTTTTTCCAAATAAATTTCGGAACTTATGCAGTTAATCAAGTTGCTCTTGTATAAAATAACTTTGTATTTAATAAAATTATTAATTTTATAAAGCTATTGCTATATTTATTAAAAATTTTATTTTCAGGGCGAAAATGGGCCTCCAAAAAAGAGATCAAGAAAACTTGATGATTTCGACAAACTAATATCACTTGCTCACAAACACCTCGAAGAACCTCAAACTGAATTTGATAAAATCGCTTCGATTTGGGCGATCGAACTTCAGAAAATGAAGCCGCAGCAACAATTGTTCGCAAAGAAGGCTGTCAATGACGTATTGTTCGAAGGTCAACTGGGCACTCTGCAAAAAGGTTCTCTTCAAATTAATTCTGCAAGATACACTCCTGCTGCGTATAGTAGAGTGCAACAAAGTCCCATTCATTGTCGTACCCAACAGGAACAATCAGTGCTCAATGCACTCACGGAACCAGTTATTGGACTATCCTCTAATGCTCCTTAAAACTTTACCAACATCAATAAAATGTAGATTGATGTAGGTAAAATTTATATTTAAATGATTATTGTATTTACTTACATATCGTTATGTGATCTATCAGACTGTGTATGATAAGCGGACCCTACACGGTCATTCGGAATTGCATTCCAAGACACGAATGACGTACGGATTGATCGTTTAAGGCACTGATTGAAGTACCAATGAACGTGTCTGGCGGATTTAAGAAAAACTGAAAATCAAAGGTTCATTCACGAGAAGTGTGGAGACTAACCATACTACTAGATAGGTTAGTTTACCTAGGTCTCATAACCATTGTAAATTTTTTATATCCCTAGTTTATATTTTTACAAACCATTTTCAACTATTTTTTCTTTAAATAGTCAAATGGGCAATAAATTAAAAAACAAAAGTGGAAACTTCACAATTTACTTATAGAAAAAAAAAAAATTTAACTGTTGTGTTTATTTTTAATTAATTTTTTCAATCCTTCAACCATCCTCACTAGCTATGCTGATGACACGTGTGTGTTGTCTGTCAATAATGAACCAACTATTTCATCACAAACCCTACAGTCACACATTTCAGCCATTGAAAAATAGTGTGCAAATTGGAGAATTAAAATTAATCCAAACAAATTACTTTTACATTTCGCCGTAAATCTACAAAATCCTGTCCCACCGTATCCTTTAACAATATTCCACTGATCTTTGTCGAACAGATCCGTTACCTAGGACTCCTTCTTGACAAACGCCTTACCTGGAATCCTCATACTAGACTTAAAAGACAAGAAACTGCCAACAAATTCCGACTACTACAACACTTACTTGACAAACGCTCTTAACTTCCAATATTCTACAAAAAAACTCATTTACACTACCATCATCAGGCCCATTCGGACCTATGGTATTGAGCTTTGGAGCTCTACAAAAACATCAAATTCTTCCCATATCCAATCCTTACAATCCAAAATCCTCCGTAAAATCCTAAATGCTCCTCATTATGTAACAAATAAAATTATCCATAAAGACTTCAATATTCCTCTTGTGGAAGACTTGGCCCGAACTAGATATACCTCTTTTCATTCCAAATTCCTTGGTCACCCCAATCCTCTAGTTTGTTACCTCTCATCCAACACAATTCCTGACAACCCTCCGAGGCGTCTGAAAAGAAGATGGCCAAGGGACCTTCTAAATTAATTTATCTTTGAAGTGTTACCAATGGGTAGCTTCTTCACCAGTACCTTCATGTAATAGATTTCTATAGCAAATTTACTGGTGTATATATGTTTACAGTTGTAAATTTCAATAAAATAATAAAAGAAAATCCATTTTGTTTAACAAATTGATTATTTTCGCAATACTTTTCCTTAATTTTTGTAAGTAAACTATATTTTTCTAACTTTGGACTAAACAATTTTCAGGTACTAGGAAGTAATTATTATATCTTCATTTTCCTCTTGATGGTTGATAACCGGCATTAACCATCTGCTAGTCAATTGCTCGATCACACGCTTATACCATTCTTTGGGGTGGTTATAAAAAATTTCTTAAATTGCAATTTCAACTTCCACTATATTGTCCATTTTTTCCCTTAAAGAAAATAGGTCATGGATCTAAATAATCCGATGGTACGAGGTCTGGACTATATGGTGGATGGAGTCTCATATCAGAAGAGTTTTTCAATAAATTTACACAAATTTCTAACTTCTTAGCTGATTGCTGAGGAGTAAGTTCGTGAGGGACCATTTTATTGCTCATTTTCAACTTCCCCATAGAGAGTAGATGGCGACTAACAGAATCTTTCAACACAACACACTCCCTGGCAAGTTTTCAAGTTCTCGTGGACGGATTTGACTTAGGAGATTCCAACAGAAAGTCATCAATATCCATTAATGGTCGCCCGAAGCCCTTCTTTCCAAGGTCGGATCTCCACTGCCAAATTTTTCAAACTAACGCCGCGCTAATATTCTTTAAATCAGCCGCCATTTTTGAAAGCATGATGATTTGTGGCTCTGGAATGACAGACAAGGTTCATTTTACTTACAATAACAAACATTCATAATTTACATTCAAATCTTCGCCTGCGATCTGGTCGATTTTTGGGCTCTGGCTCCAGGGCTTATTAGATATGGATTATATTAACGTCAGATCATAATAATTTAATTGTACATATGTATTGTGGATAAAGAACTGTATTATTTAGTTTTGTTACATTTGACTCAATTTGGAATGATGAATCATATGATCGTACCGATACGATATTGTGCCATTAAAGATGGTGGGAGAAACGCTGGACTATTTGAATATAACTTCCTATCTTATAATAGTCATATAACGTCCATATGATGACGCGAGACCCATAAAATCGTAGCCTAAGCCAGTAATACTTTTCCAAAAACGAAAGTTTTGAAACGGGGATGTTCACTGTCTCCGCTTTTCTTTAACAGTTATATTTAATGGGTCCTAGAAGAATGGAAGAAAAATGTAATGGTGTAGGCATTATGGTTGGAAATGATCACTCATCGATTCAGAAGTAGAGGATGTGTTGAGAAAAATTCACCAGGAATACTTAATCCGAAGGGCTGGAAGTCAGCAAAGAAAAACGTTATATAAATATGACCTTTCATAGCAAAAGCTAATAACTAAATATGGACACATGGATTATGAAATCTAAAGTTCAGTATCTAAGTAGCAAAGTATTTAGTAAGGTGGGTAAATGCTATAGGAACAAAATTAAACAAAATAGCTTGTTTCTGAAAGTGTTGCCCTCTATTTAGAAGAATTATACACAATCAAAAAGAACCAATAAAAATACTTTGGCAAAGTGGACTATGGAAGGGATAATGTTTCTCCCGTCTTCAAAAAGTTCCAAACATTGAACAAACAAAATAACATATTAAAACACAGCTAGTGAAAGGAAAGGAGAAGATCCTCCACACCATTGAAATTTTATAGCTGGCTGAAGAGGTTTGGGTTTGGGAATGCAATGTGATTGAGAGAGTGATGATGATCTGAAAGAATATTGGAATGAAGACGCAAGAGAAGGCGGAAGAAGGCTCGTCCGAAACGGGTTTTGAGGAGGTCATGGAAGTAATAATGATGAACTCAAGAATCATGAAGGAGACTTCCAGGCACTAGCGGATCCAGGATTTATTTTTTGGGGGGGGGGGCTTCAGCCCGAAACCTTTTTTTTCATAAAAATAACGATAATTACTTTGGGAAAAAAAGAAAGAAGCTAACTACTTATATGAAATGGTGTTTAAGTGATTCCTAAAGCCCTTTTAAATGTAATTACATGAACAATAATACTTTAAGAGATATTTTTTAAATATTTTTTTCAATAAAACGTGGTTATATTTTACCATTTTGGGGGGGGGAGGGCTTCAGCCCGAAAGCCCTCCCCCCGTAGATCCGCCCTTGCTTCCAGGACTAAAAGTGTAAAATTCGTTAAATGAAAAATTATAAAATTTCTTTTTGTGCAATATTACAAAATTACACCACAATTTAAATAAGAACTTGGAACTTTCATTTAAAATATCGAAATATTTCAATTTACCAATTATTTTAAATATGGTGTTGGGCAAAACAGTTTTCAATTACTGTGTAAATATTTTAACTTAAAAAAAATAAATTGCTTTTCTAATCAAACACAATCTTGTATCGATAAAATACCTGATTATAAATTTAAAACATGTTGGTATTGGGCTTTAAATTTGTGTAACTCTTTTAGTAAAATTAATCAGCGATACGGACTTCTTTTTATAGGCTACTTGACAGAAGTTCAAAATTATCTATTTCTAATAAATTAACTATACAGGGTGTTTTAGCATTAAGTGTCCAAACTCCAAAAATGAACTAAAGACCTAAAAACAAGAAAAAAAATTCCTCTGAAGGTATGTCCATAAACACTTTGTTTAAAAGATATTCACACCTAAATATTTTCGTTGTTATGAATTATATACGTTATCTATCTATCTATATATATATATATATATATATATATATATATATATATATATATATATATATATATATAATGAACGTATGTTTGTCCTGTGCATTACTAAACCATTCCACCGATCGCCATGAAACTTTGGGAAGTTATTCCGTACACTCCTGGGAAGGTTTCTGTCTTACGATAATTTTATATATGTAAAAGAAATAAAAATGTATATTTTTTTCTGTTCAAAGCCGCAAAAAATGTGTCGCTATAAACTGTAGCGCCAAAACGGCTTTACCAATTTTAACGAAACTCGGATAAAGTCTTCCCCTTGAATCCCTTTTAATTTATGTGTATAACATACTTTCCCGAAAACAAGCTGAAAAATGTTACGATGAATTCAATATTTTATTTGACGATAACTAAAAAAGTACACAATTTTTGACTGATAATACCCACATTTATTTGAAAGATTTCTTAATCGCTGACAAAATAAAAAAACAAATCATCGAAATAGATAATCAATATCTCGGAAATAAAACTATTTCCAGCGGCCGTAGGAGTAAAGTGGGTTCAATTATTTTTTTAAAGAATTTTGATATATTTTTAAAGAAGAAGAAAAGTTGAGATTTGTATTTCGCACCTCGATAAACCCTCGAATACCAATCTTCACTGGAATCGCAAACTTTCTTTTTTTTGGCTCAAACTTTCATCAAGGGTGGGTGGGACCTTCAATTTTATTTCGGAAACTACAAACAGTGTGATAACTTAACAATGGCTCCACCTATAAACACGAAAAAAATCAGGGGTTTGCGGCCACGTAAACTGCACAAATCGCAACAAACCATACCCCCATATTAGAAGCATATTAGAAAAGGAGATAAAAATTAAAACGCATTAGGAGATTTTCTTTATTTATTCAACGCGTGGCCGGGTAAAGCTCGTATGAAGTAAATAAAACCTATTTATTTGTTCTAACTACTTTAATAATTAAATGTAAACATCAATATTCATATTAAATGTTGTTCAAAGTGAAGGTATGTCCGCTTTGTTTATGAGATGGA